ACCGATATATCCCATCTTCATAGCAGATCTTGTATTAGTAGAAATAAGAGTTATAATTATTCAAAATTTTGACCCTTTGAGGGGGAGGTACTTGATGAAATGGGCCGATATTGTCCTGACCTAACACTGATACAAATATTAGGGTTTACAAAATTGGAGCAACATCGGATTTCCCCTTCTCTTTCTGTGCAGCAAAATATTTTTAACCTTTTGTGGGAGATGTGCCAGAGGGGGTGGACCGAGCTCGATCTAAGTTTGATAATAATAGTGGATCATATCAGGTACTCCCTTCGAGAGTTATCGTGCGGCACAGTCAGACGGACGGACGAAAATTCCTCCAAATGTCCTGAAGCGGATTTGATACAAGGAGACCTAGGGTCTAAAACCATTATTTCGATGAGGCACGTTTTGGCCGTATCAAATGATATGTACCTTCGGTCGCCATATGGCTAGGAAATGAAAATGTGAAAAGTGGATTTGAAGATCAAAACCCCAAAGGAGTTTCGAGTTATTAGGTCAAATATTGTTAAGGCATTTAAACAGTTTTTAAGGCAAAGGGTCTGTCATAGGCTGTAGTATCCATTACCAATATTTGAAGCAATTCCGGTGAATAATGTCGCTAAAATTATCAAAATACCAAACATCGGGAGGTATGAGGGCTATACGATGACTTGGACCTGCACAGACAATTTTCTGTCATAGGCTGTAGTATCCATACGAACTTAAAATACCAAATTTGAAAAAATTCCGGTGAATAATGTCGCTGAAATCATTAAAATACCGAATATCGGGAGGTACCGTTATGTGGGAGCTATACCAAAACGTTGACCTACATGGCCCATTTTCAATACCAAAAGTCCTGCAGACATAATATACATTTGAGTAAAATTTTATCAAACAACCTTATTTCGTTCGGGAGCTAGAGTGATTTCCACAGACGGACGGACATCGCTAAATCGACATAGAATTTTATGCTTATCAAGGAGATATACTTTGTGGGGTCGAAAATGTAGATTTCGAGGTTTTACAAACGGAATGACAGACTTTATAATCCCCCGATACTATGGTGGAGGGTATAACAAGTCATTTTGCGGACCCTATATTAAAACAGAATTTTATAAACAGGAGCCCTTCTATTGATCTTTTATATAAAGCATCCCCATAATAAGAATCCTTGGATAGAATATGTTTTGACTACATTTTGTGGAACGGATTTCCTGGAGATCTCCCTTAGAGATTGGTTTACTTGATGTCTATAACTTTATTACATGGAACACCCTTCTGAGGTGTTATGTCGGAAGAAGATGGACTGACGGCCTTTTCAATATAGAGTATCTAAAACTTTTTTAAATATAATATTTTGGGGTCTTCCGAAGATCTCCATTATATTGGTTTACTTGATACGTTTAACCCTATATGAATTTTGAATCTTCCATATGCGGAAGACTGGGTGCAGGTCCATTAATATTAAAACTATATTCTTAAAATTAACATATATTTATTTAATATCCGTCATCAAAATCCGCTTCAATTTAGTCCACAATTTTGAATTTGGACCCCTCCCTCCCCTTCCTAATTTTTATATGGGTGCAGAAAATATCACATTATCGATGTGCAACATGTTGAGCACTTTTCAATTTGCGCCGACCAGAAATAGTCGATGCTGTGCTCTGCTGCGAGCCATCGAATCAAATGGCCAAACCTATTGGGGGCACACTCGTGCCGCAATGTGACGCCACTCTGACGATGATTGTTCTCAAACACAACACAATGGCGTTTAAATAATTAAAGCATTTTATTTTTAGAAACAAAACAAAAACGATCGCTTAATCAAAATTGTTGTGTTGACGTTGTAGTTGTAGTTGTTGGATCTGATAAAAACATATGTTGTGTTTGTTGTTGTTTGTGTTGCTATATTTTTGCCAGCGAACATGTGTGCAAAATTTGTTGAAAATCTTAAAAATGTTGGCATCTTGAAATCGGCACTAATTTAGGGTGTGCAACGACGACCGAACACATTATGGTCAAGGTATAGATATTTATCTTTCTTTTCCCCCGGCCCCCCGACCAGATACATCCCAAAGACATGAGAAAAGTGTGAATGTTTTCTTTTTGTGACAACAAAATGAATTTTAATAATTGAAATGTTTTTCAACAGGTGACGCGAGGAAAGGGGATAGGTGATGAGTTTGCTTTATTTCACTTCCTCTTAAATATTTGTCATATCTTAATTTGTATTTTTGGTTATTCTAATGAAAAACAGATTGCTTCTGGGGTGTGGATGGGGTTCAGATGCACTTTACAGTTTATGTAGATGTTTTCCTATTGATTTGTATTGTTGTTGCTGCTGTTGTTATTCGGGGTATTTGGTCATCGTTGCGCTTTAGCCTTCATTTAATTACCTTAATTAATAACACTCATACGTCATGGGGTGACAAATTATGTTGAGTTTTGTGGTCACCAAATGCAGTGCAGAATTTCAAATGGGAAAATCAATGCAATTTTCGTGATTATTTATGATAATCATGTTCGAAATGTGAATGTGGGCATCAAGGCGGAAGGTATATTTCAGGTAAATAATTAGGACATTTTTTTAGAATAATTGAAATATGGTATGTCGTCAATGGAAGAATTGTAAAAACGTCGTTTGAAGATTTCAGGAAGGCCTTTTATGTATAAACGAGACGCATAAAGTCGCCGATGTTTGGAAGAGCTAATATCAGTTTAAAACAAGTTAAGAAGTATCAGTCAGTTTTGCCGACATATATATACCCTTAGCTAATGTTCGATTATTAAAATATATTTTGACTTCTGTTATGATTATTCAAATTGTTGATTTCTCTATGGAGTAGGTTCCCAAGGAATGGTCCAATATTGTTCATTTCGTATCGGACCTAAGTAAATATGATATAAATATTGCGACGTGCCAGGTTTGGACTACATTTGTTACTTCCTTCACTTTACATGAGATATGTGAACATTTTTTGGAAAATGTTAAAAGTGTGCGCGAGGTACCACATATAGTCGAACATTTTTCTATTACCATTTTCATACTTCATCTAACACAGCCAATAATATTAGTATGGGCGAAATTACAAGAAAATCGAAAATTTATATTCAATTTTATGCGAAATCATAAATTCCATATTCATCTCAAATTTCTGGTTGTGAGGAGAAATATTTAGATATAGCAAGTTGTAAAGAATCGCTGACTTGTTTCGCAAGTTATGACAGATAAAAGTATTGAAAATTTTGACCCCCAGAAGGGGCTCGCGGATATATATGATCCTCACAACAAATCTTTATGAGCTCCATGGATATTCAATATTTTGACCCTTTGTGGGGGAGGTACTAGAAGGGGTGGATAGATATACAGGGTTGCTTGTCCGCAGGCAACATCCTTTGCGTCTATTGAATTTTGTACGGGAACAAATGTAAATCAATGCGAATAATCCGTTGTAAAGTGGACCGAGCCACGACCAACTGCTGAGAACGGCGTTTTTGGGATGTTCTAGGGGACCACTCAACACTGGCTCTTACGGCAGCGATATTCTCGGCCGATCACCTTGGTCGACTTTTATATGGCCTCTTCGGATTAGAAAGAGCCTTACCAGTCGAAAATTTTATGTCATTAAGCGTTGTGACATCTCTGTCAAAAGTTATGACGTTGCCAAATGGGTCCGTCGAATATGGGCAACCCTGTATTCCATATTCACACCAGACCTTGGGTTAATAAAAATATTACGATGTGTGCAAATTGAAGAGGATCAGACTTACTTCACGTTTTATAAGAGTTATAATTATTCAAAATTTTGAACCTTTGTGGGGGAGGTACTTGATAGAGTGGACCGATATTATCCGATATTTAACATGACCTATCACTAATACAAATACTAGGATTTGCAAAGTTGGAGCAAAATAGGATTATATAAATAAATTATTTTCTGACTTTAAAATAGCCAGTCTGGGCTGGGGAAACTCTAAGTGGATTTGATAGTTCTCGGTTTGCGGATGAAAACCCAAGCAGAGTTTCAGGTTCTTAGGCCAAATTTTATATAGCCTTGCCCATTTTCAAACAGACCTTAATAGTTTGAGATATATTTCGCAACATTTAACAAAGAGCTTTGTAAATTTAAAAAGAGCTGTGGATTACTTCAAGAATCATCGGTTTAAAAAGTAGGCCATGTGAGTCCACTTTTTGGAGCAGCTTCAAATTTAAGCTTAAGCCCTCCTTGTATGTTTTTTACATTTTATTAATATTTTCCATTCAATTTCGCCGAATTTCTTGAATATTTGCAGTCCTCCATTAAATAGATCATCTATAGAAGACATAAGCAATACTTAGAGGCATCAGTCCTGCCTGCTTCTTAAAAGTATTGAAGTCTCTCTGAAAATGTATTTTCCATAAAAAATCTGCAAAGGGACTTCAATTTTCGAAAGACTTTAGGCCATAGAAGTATCTCCCATTCATAGCGTTAAACCTTTCATCCATAGAAAAATTAAAAAGGTCTTCTATTTCAACAATAAGTTTTAGTTATGTCGAAGTGATGTAAGAGATCTTTCAGAAGACTTAAAAAAACATCCATCTGTAGACGATCTCCCGAAATATATATGTAAATATAACTTTCTGGATTATTCCAAACATGAAACATAGATGGCGGTCAACTAGAATCTTTTATTCACAAAATATCAGCAAGCTATTTTCTATATACCATAGAGGGGTCTTCTATCCATAGGAAGTATTCAAATATTCCTGAGATCACATATAGATCTTCCTATTTTTATAAGACCTTCTTTTTATTTATGAGCGGTATTTCTTAAATATTTTGAACTCTATTTCATTTAAGTTTAAGTTCAATATTACGCTTTATTCCCAGTTATGTCTTCAATTGAAAAACTTTCCTTTCAACATTTCCATTTTCAAACCAGTTTCATGGAAAACTCAAACAACCAACAGTGAACACACAATTTGCATTTTATTTTGTATTTTTTTTTTCTACTTCTTTGTTTTTTTTTTGCAAACATTTTATTTAATTTTTAATACAAGTAGAAAAAGTTCTTAGAACACATAGTGAAAACCAATTTTCAAATTTACACTTGCATATCCTGTTCAAATCCCAAAAAACGTACACTTTGTTCCCTATAGCTATACACACACTCTCTCTCGATGCAGGTGTGAAGTTTCTCCTTCCGTTTTTTACTGCTTTGCCTAATCCTTACCATAGACATGGATGTTGTAGGTAAAACGTTCCGTTTGTGTTGCCTCCATAACAATGGAAATGAAACGTTGTCCAATGCCACCGGCTACCACATAAGCATTGCCTCCATTGTCGTCCTGCAGACAATGGATTTCGACGGCAGTGACCAAACTGCCGGTACCAGTTTCAGGATAAGTTACCTGTGTGGTCACATCCTTTTTGGCCGGATAATAGGTGGTGTCACCGTATTGAGCAACCAAACGATCACCTGCAGAGGTAGTGGGGGAAGAGGGAATATAGGAAATAAAGGATATTAGTTAAACATTTTTATTTTAATGGGGGAATAATTCTACATGGAAATTTAATTAACAAATTTATTTATGAATTGCTTCAATTTTTAATTCTCTGGGAAGAAATCATAATTCCCTGGAAGGAAATATTAGTCTTGGAATACATTTCCCTAACCAATGACATTGCGTTTGGGGCGGCCTTCTCTGAAATCTGGTTTAAATCCATATTCTGCGCATATCGTATTTATTGCAATCAAAACTCCGCCTAAAAATATGCTCTGAAATTCTTTTTTCGTACACAACGACATTCCTTTTTGATGATTCTAATAGGTGGCGCTTATTTAATGTTAGCACTGTTCCAGAACCGCATACATCTACTACTTTTATATTTTTTCAAACTTTTTACCTACAAAGCTGTTAAATTTGCTTCTGTCAAAATTGTTTATTGCTCTTTAAAAACTGACGCATTTTTCGGAGTAAAAATTATTAGCATCATAACCAGCTTTTGATTGGCTGATATATTGATTTTGGATATTTGCCAACTCTTTTTAAGTTACTTTTTCTTAGATTAAATCCCTATAGATGGCGCTCGTTATATGTTGAAACTGTTCCAGAACCAGCATTGCTCTACTACTATCTACTTTTTTTGCACCTGAAAACCATGTCTAAAGAAACTAGTAAAGCTTGTAAACAAATTTAAGGGAAACAACTAAAAATTGTTGTCAATGGCCTTTCATTGTACATTACTTTTTTATTTGATGTCCCTTTATTGTCAAATTTATATTTTGTAGTACTTCCTTAAAGGCGTACCGCTGGCAAGATATTTACATATATTTATGACCAAATATTTTGTCAACTCCACGCCTTTTAGAGGGTGTAAAAGTCAGGGTATAATACAACCAAAAACGTGAAGTAAAAGAATAGCCTCATAAGTATTATAAGACTTGATTATGGACTGCTGGAATTTTGCTTCAAAGTATAATTTTCGGGCTGCTATACGAAAACGTAGACCTATACATACTATGTTCGCCACAGGAGCTAGAAATCATGACGAATTACAAATACTAATTTTTGGACAAATCAGTTGAAAAATTTGACGAAAATCAAAAAAATACCGAATTTCGGGAGGTACCGTTATATGGGTGCTATACAAAAACGTGGACCGTAGATCATACAATGTTTCTCCACCGGAGCTAGAACCCGATATCATCTACAAATATCAATTTTTAGACAAATTGGTGGACTAAAATGTGACAAAACTCATCAAAATACCCGATATTCGGGAGGTTTCGTTATGTGGCGACAGTATTAAAACTTAGACCGATATTTTCACTACCAACCTTCCTAAATGTTGGAGCTCTTCATCAAATAATGTGGGCTGTATCGTGATTTCAAAAGACAGACGGATGTTGTTAAATCTCTACGTCGGTTTTATGCTGATCATGAATAAATATGCTTTATGTGGTCTACGACGAATATTTAGGGATGTTACAAGATGGAGGATATAACAAGGTTAAGTTTGTCAGAAGAGGCCTACCATATTCGATTTAGCAAATGAGTCGATCTCTATTATTTTGCCATTGGCCCTCCCTTTAAAATTGATTTACTAGACAAATTTGGATGAGTTGAAATTAAGTCGGAAGGTGAGCTATTCACAGCTTCATCAACAACTCAACAGAAAACATTTAATAGATACTAAAATCGTATTTATGCAATTTAAAATTATGCCCGAAAGTATACTCTGAAATTTTATTGTTCTTGGCCAACAACCTACTCCCCCCGATACTAATAGATGGCTACCATTATATTCTAGCAATGTTCCAGAACCTGCATATGTTTACTACTTTTATCATTTTTGTAAAAAGCAAAATGACTTGCAATGTCGCTCTCTTTTAAAACTTTATTAGAAACAAATTTTCAGTAAAAAAAGTAAAGGCATGACTACCAGTTTTCAATTGGCTGCTAGGTTGAAGGTTAATTCCGAAGAATTACCGTTTAGTGTTGTTGTAAGCCTCGTCCAAACTTTCCAGATTTTATCATCAACCGCTTAATATCACTAACACCTGGTCTGAAAGTCAGCTATTCACAACTTCATCAACACCTCTACAGAGTACATTTAATACAGATTTAAATATTTATGATTTAATTTTGCCCCAAAATAGGCAAAGAAATTTAATTTTCTTAGACAACAACCTTCTCTCCCCTATACTAATAGATGTCGCTCTTTATATTCTACCAATGTTCCAGAACCCGCATATGTTTACTACTTTAAACATTTTTGAAATTTTTTAACCAAAAAAAAACTATTTAAACTTGTAGACAAATTTTGGGAAAATCTAAATTACCATCAATGTCATTCTCTTTACAATGTTCATTTAGCAAAAAAAAAGTAATAGCCTGTTTGCCAGCTTCCAATTGGCTGATAGGTTTATTTTGAAGTATAACCATCTGGTGTTATTTCTTTAATAAATGTTCTCTTAGGCAAAAATCTGTTCTCACACATCTCACTGTTCCTCGCTACATTTTTGCACAAATAAATGTTCCAGGACATGCATTAAATTTCAAAAATTTTAGAGAAAAATGAATGGCAAAGTCGCTCTCGATATAAATTTGGCTAGATAAATTTAGCCGAGAAAAAAATAACAGCATGTTTACCAACTTTCGATTAGCTGATAAGTTGGTCTGTTGTTGTTCCTTAATTAATTTTACCTAAGACCAAAACCATTTCTCATACATACTAAACGATGGCGCACCTTACATTTTAGCGTTGTTCCAGAATCTGCATGTATCTACTACTTTTGCAATTCACTTTCAAGAATTAAATAGACAAATTTTGGGAGGGGTAAGTATTTGCATGATCTTTCGATTTTTTGGCAGGTTGATTTGGAAAAATTACCAACCTTAATTAATTTGTCTTAGGTGAAAACCTTTTCTCACGTATTCTTCTAAATGTTGCAGAACCCCCGCCACTGATCTACCACTTTTCACACGTTTTGCATTATTTTAGTAGAAACCAGATGGCGTGCCTGAAAAGCTAGAATCCAAGAAAGAATTGCTTTAAATGGAACTCTTTTTTCAATCTCTTTACTAGACACAACTGTCTGAGTAAAAAGGTGTAACATGATTATCAAATTTTAATATTTTGCTAGTTTTCGTTCCTATACTTTCTGGGCAAAATAGTTCTCTCAGAAGAATTTCACATTTCCCTTCTTTGACTAGTTTTATTATTAAAAACTGAGAGAACATATTTCAATTTTTTTTTTTCAATTTCAAATGGTATTTTAGCATAATTTTTTTCTGGAAATTTTCTGCAAAATTTAACCGTTTTTGTCTCATAAATCTCTACATCTTCACATTTCCCATTTTGGGTCTATCTATTATCCCTCCCATTCCAAGAAACTCCAAATGTGGCTATAAATCACATTAATTTTCCCCCCTTCCACATCAACTTCAAAGATGTGTCTTAACACTGGGTCGATTCACTTTTCTTTCACTATTTCCTCAATCAGGAACAATATCTCTTTCACCGAAACATCACCTGACCACCCCTCTCGATGGCTTACCTGAAACACGATTACCCAAACTGTATTTGACTGTCTGCAAATGGCTGGTGCGTTCCTTTTTGATTAAACGTGTCAAACGCAAATTTGGATGTTGAGCTATGAAGGCGCGTATATCCTTAACGGTTTGTACATCACGCAACTGGACACTGTTGGTTTCCGGAGCTTGTGTTGGGGGCACATTTTTGGCGGAAATTGAATGGCCCAATGCCACTACCAGCACGAAGATACAGCATAAATGTTTGAACATTTTTTTTTTCTTTTGAATTGTAGGGGTTTTAGGAACGGAGAACAAAAAACTTGCGCTTCGTAATTTCCGTTTCAATGTTTCAAAATCAACTAATTCCGATGACAGGCAGTAATTGTGTTTTTATATATATTTTTGACCTGTTATTTTAATCTTTGCTGAGATTTAATTTTGTTTTCTGCTGCTGCCGCTACTTTAGGCTTATCAGCGTTTAGTAATCAGGAATATTCTATGTTGGGTGTTTTTTGGTTTAGGGATGACGATTCGATTGGATTTTCAGGTTTAAAAACTGTTTTCTAGGATTGGTAACTCTTTGGTCTATAGAAGATTGTATTGTATAGTGTATACAGGGTGGCCTTCAAACGGCCAATTAAACCTTCACACGATGTCCGAATGTTGCTCTGCGGTATTTTGACCCTTTCCCGGCGAAGCGCTTGCTTGAGGTGATCGACACTTTGGTATTTTTTAGTGCCAACCTTGCTTTCCAAAATACTCCAGATTGGAATCCGGAGATTTTGGTGGCCACTAAGCGCTGGAAATGAAGCGAGGAACCTAATTTTGTAACCATTCTAAGATTGCGCTTGCTGAGTGCGATGGTGCTGAGTCCTGTTGGAATGTCCAAGGTCTGCGGCCAAAATGTTTGCGTGCCAAAGGTTTTAATACACCCTACAGAATATTTTCGCGATAATATTCGGCATTTATTTTGATGCCACGGTCGATTAATACAGCGGAGAGCGATGGCGGCCCACACCATCACCATGGCCGGCGCTTGAGTTCTGGTGGCCAACAGAAGGTGCACATTTTCAGCTGACCTCTTTGGCAAGTAAACACAGAATGACAGCAGTCTGAAGTTGCAGTTGGTTGCAGTTTTTTCATCTCACCCTGTATAATGTACTATACCATACTTATGCTTCAAATATATATAATTTATACTACCTTTTCTCTTTTTTACTTTATCAATTTGCGTGAGGTTCCTGAAAGTATGCTATAGTTTTTTAAGTAATTTTATAATTTACTGGGAATTTTTCAAATCCCCAATAATTATCCCAGTGCTTCAATCTCTCCCAATTGCCATCCCTACTAATCTATCTATTACAGATTTGTCATTTGTTTTGACTACGGATAGACGAACCAGAAAAAAAAATCCCCCAACATCCAGTATTATCAATGCTCTGCGTTTATTACTTTTCCGCCGATAAGCAAATTATACTGGTCACCCGTGGCTGATAAGCAACCTTCATTGTATTTATTCAGATTCAAAAATCTGTGAAATAAAATTCTGTCAATCGAACTGAGCATAATTTACATTCAGTTATGGCCATGATTTTCACATTTCAATGTCGCGCACATAGTGACTGACCTTTTGCTGCTGCGAAAATTAATTTTTTTTCAACCCTACCGTTGTTCTGTGTATCGAGAATAATCAGGAAGTATGTAAGTTTTTACACCACAAGCACGGGGAAGCAGGTCATCCGTATCACTTTTCAATTGAATTTCAATTATAATCCATTTTTAATGTGGCTTTATTAAGGTAATGCTGTGTAAAGGATAATTGCGAAAGATGGACATTTTGCAAGAATATTTTTTTACGAAACGTTAATAAATAAAAACGGATAAATATGGTAGGGGAAGTTGTGGAGGGAAGGAGGCGATTCATATGGTAAGTGCCTTTAAGTCTTTAAATATGTGAAGGATTTACGATCTGCTATAACAAGACATCATGTTCTTCTATGAGAAGACCCTTTGGTCTTCTACGAGAAGACCCTCTCCTATGAGAAGACCCTCTGGTCCTCTTCTACGAAGAAGACCTTCTATTCCTCTTCTGCGAAGAAAACCTTCTATTCCTCTTCTACGAAGAAGACCTTCTGGTCCTCTTCTACGAAGAAGACCTTCTGATCCTCTTCTACGAAGAAGACTTCTGGTCTCTTCTACGAAGAAGACCTTCTGGTCCTCTTCTACGAAGAAGACCTTCTGGTCCTCTTCTACGAAGAAGACCTTCTGGTCCTCTTCTACGAAGAAGACCTTCTGGTCCTCTTCAGTGAAGAAGACCTTCTGGTCCTTTTATTTGAAGAAGATTCTCTGGTCCTCTTCTATGAAGAAGACCTGCTGGTTCTCTTCTATGAAGAAGACCTGCTGGTCCTCTTCTATGAAGAATACCTTCTGGTCCTCTTCTATGAAGAAGACCTTCTGGTCCTCTTCTATGAAGAATACCCTCTGGTCCTCTTCTATGAAGAAGACCTTCTGGTCCTCTTCTATGAAGAAGACCTTCTGGTAATCTTCTATGAAGAAGACCTTCTGGTCCTCTTCTATGAAGAAGACCTTCTGGTCCTCTTCTATGAAGAAGATCTTCTGGTCTTCTTCTATGAAGAAGACCTTCTGGTCCTCTTCTATGAAGAAGACCTTCTTCTAGTCTTCTATAAAGAATACCTCCCACTCCACCTCTGTTTGTAGGGAGGTAAAACTTGTAGGGAGACCATCTGGTCCTCTTCTACGAAAAAGAACTGCAGGCCTTCTTCTATGAAGAAGAACTTTTCGTCCTCTTCAATGAAGAAGACCTTTTGGTCCTCTTCAATGAAGAAGACCTTTTGGTCCTCTTCAATGAAGAAGACCTTCTGCTCTTCTATGGAGAAGACATTCTGCTCTTCAGTGGAGAAGACTTTGTGCTCTTCTACGGAGAAGACATTCTGCTCTTTTATTGTGAAGATATTCTGCTCTTCTATAAAGAGACGTCCTTGTCTTCTTTAAGGAAGACCTCCCCCTCCACCTCTATTTGTAGGTTTTTTTTTTGGCCGCTCCCCTACCAGCCCCATCCAAGCCTTTGTTGTACGTAAATTTCCCCTTATCTTCGCCATCCATTATATGCTACAAATTGCATATTTATGCATGTCTGTACAGCATTTAGTGAACATGAAATTTATATGTGCTCATATCTTCTTGGATTTGTGCCATCATACATATATCCCAGTGCATGGTTAGCATGATTCCAAAAATCCAGGCCAAATGCAGTCACTCTGCAGTTGGTTTGCTTACCACCAACAGTTAAGATAATCATCACAGATGAATAAAGATCACAGTTTCTGTGGTTGACCTCATTTGAAAAACCAACAACCATAGCCAAGCCCATTCCAAAGGGGAACACACACACACACGGAAATGAAAAACCACTCAAACATAACACATATCCTTTCCAGCAAGGAATCCTGTAGAGTTTACCAAAAAAACATGCCAGTACACACAATACCCTGTGTGAAACCATAATGGACCAGCATTGCAAATCTATAACAGAATCCATAGAGATTTTTTGTAAATTTTACAAAACAAAAAAATAGAGAGAAGTACATGAGTACTTCGAGTAATACACCAGGGTAGCATCCGACATCCATGCTGTGAGTTGAAAAAAAAATGAAATAACACACATGAAACAAGGACTCATCATATCCAACATTTATGAATTCGACAAGTCAGAAACCAACAATTGCATGCTAGTTGAGTTGTTAGACTCCCCATCCTGCCCAGTACTTTTTCCTCAACAACAATACCCAGTAATTTTGAAATTTACTTTGATTTTAAAGTAGAAACATGTGTTTGGTTTGAAATGGAAGAAGAATAGAAATAGAACAAGTAAAAAAACATTAAGTTCGGCCGGGCCAAACTTTTAATACCCTCCACCCTAGGGTAAAAGAACATTAGAAGAAATGTGGCAAAAAACATTAAAATGCCGAATATCGGGAGGTACCGTTATATAGGGGCTACACCAACACGTGCACCTATAATTACAACGTTTCGCCACACGAACTAGGACCCATTATGACCCACAAATACCAACTTTTACACAAATCAGTGAAAAAATGTGGCATAAGTCATCAAAATACCGAATATCGGGAGGTACCGTTATATGGGGACTATACCAGAACGTAGACCTATACATGCAATGTTTTGCCACACGCTCAGGGACCCGTTGTGACCTACAAATACCAATTTTCAGACAAATCCGTGAAAAAATGTGGCATAAATCATCAAAATACCGAATATCGGTAGGTACCGTTATATGGGGGCTATACCAAAACATGGACCTATACATGCAATGTTTTGCCACACGCTCAGGGACCCGTCATGACCTACAAATACCAATTTTCAGATAAATCCGTGAAAAAATGTGGCATATATCATCAAAATACCGAATATCGGGAGGTACCGTTATATGGGGACTATACCAGAACGTGGACCGATATATCTCATTTTCAATACCAACCATCCTAGAGACAATACACACACTTGTGCCAAATTTCAAAGGTCTACGTCAAATAATGTGGGCTCTATCGTGATTTCAACAGACAGACAGACAGACAGACGGACAGACAGACGGACAGACAGACAGACAGACGGACATCGCTAAATCGTCTTAGAATTTTATGCTGATTATGAATATATATACTTTATGGGGTCTACGACGAATATTTAGAGGTGTTGCAAACGGAATGACAAAGTTAATATACCCTCCTACCCATGGTGGAGGGTATAAAAATGTGGCATGTAATAAATTGGGTTAAAGGGTTATTTCTGCCCAGGACTTCCATGGTTGGTGTGGAGGTCATAAACAACACAAAAAAACATATTTACTGAGAAAATCCAGCAGATTTTGAAAGTATAGCTTAAAATAGCCTAAAAGTTTACATTTCCAAGAAAACTAAATAGAGGGGCCTAAGTAACCCCTCAACCACATTTTTTTGAAATTTTCGAATCAAGATTTCATGGAATTCTTACATTTTATGAATATAATGTCTTTGACGACATTGCAGATAATAATGTGAGGATTATTTTGTTCAAAAAGGTTAACCCTCAAGCGAGTCAACAAAGCGGTCTTTTTGGTCCTTTTTTGAAAATATGGCTAAAAATTTCCATAAAATGGGATCGCAGCAACTCAAAATATTCTACAAAATTATTTGTCATAAAATTCTACTAAAGGTCCTAGAAGACGTCAGAAGTCTAAAACTTACCTAAGCGCCTGGAATTCATATACATTTAATACATATCTTAGGGTTAAAACCGTACCTTTTTTGAGTTTATGCAGAGATCGCCAACAAAGCATAATTGTATAAACATGACGTCAAGGACAAAAATATTCCTCATTAAATTTCACTATAAGTCAACAAAGAAAGGAAATCTATATTTCCACTCCAGATTCAAAAAATACCTGCATCAATGTTGGCAAAAAATCGCGAAAATATTCCCAAATGCTTTTGATCAATTTTTCCTCGGTCTTTTTTCGAGTAGATGGAGGAAATTAAAATAAAATGTAATTCTAGGCAAAAAGTGTCAAAAGAAGAAATATTCTAGACAAAATTTCACTATCAATCTCAAAATATACTATGCATCTAGGTTTAATAGTTTTTTGGAAAATCGCATTCGAATTTGATATATTACAAGTGAAAATTACGTGTTTATGTTTTTTACTGCTAATTTAGCACGTTTCCATTCTCAAGTCAAAATCTCCCTTAATATTTCATTTTTTGGGGAAAATGTCAAAGGAAGAAATATTCTAGACCAGTTTTCACTATAAGTCGCCAAAGAAAAGAAATCTATATTTCCATTGTATATCACGAAAATATTAGGATCAATGTTCCCTTAAAAACAGAAAATATTTGCAAACTTTTTTTGAAAAATTTTCCTCAGACATTTTTCGAGTTGGCATTTGAAAATACATAAAATTTCGTTGTAGACCTTAGGTGTCAAAAGAAGAAATATTCTACACAAAATTTCACTACAAATCTCAGAAGAAACCATATATCTAGGTACAATGGTTATTAAGGAAATTACATATGAAATTTATGCACTAAAAGTGAAAATTATATGCTTGTATTTTTACTGATAATTTAATCTCCCTTTATACTTCACTGTTTGGGAAAATGTTCAAAGGAAGAATTATTCTACATCAAATTTCATTGTGAGTATCTGAACAAGAGAAATTGGTATATTCAATATATATTATGAAAAAAACACATGTACCATTAAAATACATTTTAAGACTGAAGTCGTTCTTTGTGTGAGTTCATGCAAAATTCTCATACAAAGCATCATTTTAGAAGGACGACTTCAAAGACAATAATGTTCCTCATCAAATTTAACTAAATTCCGCCAAAGAAAATAAATCTCTATTCCCATTGTGTATCATGAAAATTTTTGGGTCAATGTTCCCTAAAAAGTCGAAAATATTTCCTAACTTTTTTGATTATCTTTTCTTTGGCCTTTTTTCAAATAAACGTCTGAAAGTAACATAAAATTTCGTTGTAGGCCTTAGGTGTCAAAAAAAGATCTATTCTACACAAAATTTAACTATAAATCTCAGAAGAAACCATGTATCGAGGTACAATGGTTTCTAAGGAAATTACATTTGAATTTTGTATACTAAAAATTAAATGATTGCTTTTTTACTTCTAATTTAACACGTTTTCAATCCAAGTCAAAATCTCCCTTTATACTACACTTTTTGGGAAAATGTTCAAAGGAAGAATTATTCTACATCAAATTTCATTGTGAGTCTCTGAACAAAAGAAATTTGTATATTCAATATGTACCATGAAAAAATATCGTGACTTTTTTTCATAAAAAAACTTGTTAATTTTTTAAATTTTGAAAAGTGTGGAGGAGGAGAAAACTCTTACCCTATTTAAGTTATTTGTTTGATGTAAACATTCAAACACCGATGTACGTGTCTTTTATTTTAAGCTCTTCTTTCATAATCTGTAATAATTTCCCTATAATTATTGAAAAAATTAAATTTTGTAAAACAGTGTAATTAAGTTAGACAGATTTTGGCAGAAAAATGTTGCAGGAGCACATTATCAAAAATTGGTTATTAAATGTTTCCTAGGATTTTTTTTCTAGAATTACTGTATTGACTAGATTTTTAGAATTTCAAAAATCATTCCAAAAATTCAAAATCAGTTAGTTTGTGGAAGGAAACTCAACAATTGATTGCTGAAGCTTATTCCCTTCCTTTTAGACTTTGTTCTCTATAAAATAGACACTCACTCACTCTCTCTCTTCAACAGTTTTTCCCCTTCTATTATTTACTTGTTTTCTATTTGTTTTCCACAAAGTAGAAAATTATGTTATAGTAAGTCGCAGTATTATACAAAAATACAAATATTTGCAATTATTTATTATTTTTTTTCGTATTGTTTATAATTTCTTGATTACAAACTCTACTACTATTATCTGCTCTGCTGAGTGGTGTTCGTTCATCTCTGCAGATAACCTTTACGGCAATCAAACAAAGAAAATGTCAAGATAAGAATAAATCAGAATAAAATTATGAATAACAAAATAAATATATAGTGGATTTCAGCTCATTTGAATAGAAAGTGGAAATGTATAGCAGTGGTAAAATCGAAAAATATTCTTTGAAATGGAAAAATTTCTAATTAGGAGTAAAAAACGTAAACACACAATTTTCATTTGTAATATATAAATTTCGATTGTAATTTTCTTAAAAACCATTATACCTAGGTAAATGGTTTATTCTGAGATTTATAGTGAAATGTTGTGTAGAATATTTGTTCTTTTAACATTTTTTACATAAAATGAAATTTTATGTTACTTTCAAGCGTGAACTCAAAATAGACCAAGGAAAAACTTATAAAAAATTAGGAAATATTATTGATTTTTTGCCAAAATTTATGTAAATATTTTCTTGGTATATAATAATAATAGAGAATTCTTTTGTTCACAGGCTAACAAGGAAATTCTACCTTGAATATTTCTTCCTTTGAAACATTTTCTGAAAAATGAAGTATTAAGGGATATTTTGTCTCAGAATGGAAATGTGTTAAATTTGGAGTAAAATCGTAAATACATGATTTTCGTTTGGAATACAAAAAATTTCAAATATAACTTTCTTTCTTATACCTAGAAACATTGTTTAATTTAGGATTTATAGTGTAGAATATTTCTTCTTTTGGGACTTTCTGCTTAAAACATAATTTTATATTACTTTAATAGATCAACTCGAAAAATTGACGAAAAAAAATTTATCAAAAAATTAGGAAATATTTTTACGTTTTTTCTTGGCAACATTGATGCAAATATTTTCTTGATATATAATAGAAATATAGACTTCTTTTCTTTGGTGACTTATAGCGGAATTTGATATAGAATATTTCTTCCTTTGAAATGTTCCCCAAAAAATGAAGTATAAAAGGTGATTTTGACGTAGAATGGAAAGGTGTTAAATTTGGAGCAAAAAGCGTAAAACATAAAAATATAATTTTCTTAACAACTATTATATATAGATATATAGTTTATTCTGAGATTGATAGTGAAATTTTCTGTAGAATATTTCTTCTCTTAATACTTTCTGCCTAAAATGAAATTTTATGTTACTGTCATGCATCAACTTGCAAAAAAAGACAAGAAAAATTGGATCGAACAATTTTAAATATTTTGGCGTTTTTTGGCAAAATTGATTTTTTTATTTTGAGGTATAAAATAAATACGAATTTATTTTGTTCACAGACCCACAATGAAATGTTGTCTAAAATATTTCTTCCTTTGGCAATTCCCCCAAAAAATGAAGTATTAAGGGAGGTTTTGACCTAGAATGAATTCGTGTCTAATTGGGAGTTAAAACCGCAAACAAATAATTTTTCTTTATAAAATAAACAATTCGATTATAATTTTCATAAAAGCCTTTAATTCTAGATCAATGGTTTATTCCGAGATATACAGCGAAATTGTGTCTAGAATATTTTTTCTTTCGACACTTTCAATTCCAAAATCAAGCAAAAGAAAAATTGTTCTGATATGCAGGAAATATTCTGAAGTTGTATTGGCAACATTGTTGCACAATATTTTCTCGATTTATAATGGAAATAGAGATTTCTGCTCTTTGGTGCCTTATAATAAAATTTAATAAAGAAAATATTTGTCCTTGACATCATCATTCTAAAACGATATTTTGTAGGGAAGTTTTGCATGAACTCATATGAAGCACGGCTATAACCTTAATTCTGATGTCTTCTAGAACCTATAGTAGAATTTTATCACAAATATTTTGGTAGAATATTTCGACTTGCTACGATCCCGTCTAAAGCGAATTTTTAACCATATTTTCAAAAAGGCCCCTTTGTTAACATTTCCGCTCAAAGTAATGCTCGTGTTTTTATCTGGAATATCGCCGAAGACACTCCCAAAATTCATGGGTTTGAAGTAAACTTAATCCCAATTTAAAAAACCTTGAAATGAGGATATTGCTACATATATGTGGAGCAGACTTTTAAAGTTCTCATAATTTTTGGCATAGCCCTTTGAAATGTCGTTTATGAATAAAACACCCCATTAACTGTCTTCAGTGTATAAACCTCTCTAAATGAGGCTAAGGTCCATTGAAGGTGTGGTCAAAATCTACAATTTTGGGTAGCATATATCCTTGAAGTTTCAAACTTCATAAAAGTATTGTAATGATGGAGAATATCACAATGAATATGCCACACAATAGTTTTCATATTGGTTAACTCCTCTTTAAATTAGGCGCCTAAAAGTATGCCCTACACTTTTTGCTTCTTTACATGCCAATATTGAATAAACTGCGATAATGGCCAGTATTTTGAATTAGTTATTAATTTTCTAACTTTCTATCATGCCTATCCAACCTCTTTTCGAGAATTATTGATAAATTGGTGATAATTGGTAATCAATGATAAATTTGATTGGCATATTATGGCTTTATGAAAAGAAGATAACCAGGATGTATTCATTATTAGTTTTCTCCAAAATATTAAGTCAGTATATGCTAGCACGAAAATTAAAGGCTACCCATCATTCAAATCATTGTTTAACAACATTGATTTTTGTTCCGATTTGTATTTTTAATATAAGATCTATTTTATGGTACTTCTGTAAATAGACCAAAATTTGACTTTTCGCCTTAATTTTAAAATACTATTATATTGTCATATATTTATTATCTTCAAATACTCAACCTTGTATTTTTCTCTTTATCCCTTTACAGAATTTTTGTCAATAGATCCTTGCATTTGGAAAACATAAAATTCTATGGCTTCGATATGGATTACACATTGGCCGGTGAGTGGAATTCAAAATAAATATTCCCCCTTTTTGAAACATTCATCTAACAATAAATGTTTGTCTCTTACAGAATACAAATCGCCACAATATGAACAGCTGGGATTTGATTTGGTCAAAGAGCGTCTGGTTAGCATGGGCTATCCCAAAGAGATAATGCAATTCGAATATGATCCCTCGTTCCCCATTAGAGGTCTGTGGTTCGACACTTTATACGGTAATCTCTTGAAGGTGGATGCCTATGGCAATATATTGGTGTGCGTGCATGGTTTTGAATTTTTAAAACAGTAAGTGTGTTTATGAAGTTAATTATTTTATTGAATTGTTAACATTTTTTTTTTTGTTTTTTTTTTACAGTTCTCAAGTCTACGAATTATATCCCAATAAATTCTTGAAGTTGGATGAATCAAGAGTATATGTTTTGAATACATTGTTCAATTTACCAGAAACTTATTTGTTAGCCTGCCTGGTGGACTTTTTCACAAATAGCTCGGAATATACAGAGTAAGTACTAACCTTATCTTCTTACGAAATATGATGCATTCCCCCATGCAAAATGTTTGAGGTTAAGAATAATACATAACTGCCTTTGTAAGAACGTAACCAAGATAATTTCAGAGCAGATAGGTATTCCTTCGCTGTTTAGCATGATCGGAAATCGTTTAAAAATAGTTGCACAGAATTCAGACCACGTCCATTATTTTAAAGAATTCAGTATCTGGTTTCTATAGCTAAGATGTGTAATATACTACTATTTTTTCGGATATACTATAAACTCTGAAAACGCGGAAGTTATTCGCAGAGATTTACACACAATTTGTAAAATTCAAAATAAAAAAGTCGGCTATTTGTCGGTATTTAAATATAATAAATGAATGAGCTTTTTTAAGAGCTGCAATAGTAGGTTGGCGCTGCAAAAATTAAAAAAAGCGAGTGAGTTCAAATTATTAATTCCTTTTTATATACCTCAAATAAATCTTTATAACGATGGTTAACCTGGATAAAAGCTCTATCGTAAACAAAATTTAAGCAAGTTTTTCAAAAGAAAACATAAAATTCAGAGAAATGCATTAAATTTTGAATTGAAAGAACGGTCTATATAATTTGATGTTTGAAAATTATTTCATTTAAATGTTGACCAAATTGTTCATCCGCTTTGTCCAATTTTGGCATACTCCAATTTTATCTTCCGAAGAATCAATTGAAGCGGTCTTGTCGGTATAGATATTAGCTTTAACATAATCACATGCAAATAGTATGAGGGCATTAAATCACACGATCTAGGTGACCAATTGACTGGTCCTCCTTAATGTGAAATAAAATTTTGTTCAAGCTGAGACTTTTTTCTGATCAGAAGATAATCGGTGTAGCTCACAAGATCTAATTCTTCAGGGAAACATTTCTCCATAGGTATACTTTGCATCCATCAAAGCAAAATAGAAATGGGTAAAGCTTCCGAGTTATGGAGTGATAAATGTTTTCCTGACCAAGGAACAAATTGTCATGATTAAAGATTATTATTTCGATTCACGATAAGGGAACCTTGTTCCCCGATCTCAACAGCTCAGTATACAAAATAACCTTCTGATCTCACCAAGCATAGATAATTTCCTTGGCCAAATCCATATTCGATTTCTGCTGTAAAGTTGACATTCTTAATTAATAAACCTAATATAACGGTGAATCTGATCCTGAAACAAAGGAACCCCATTTAACAGCAATTTTTTCACTCCTTTGAAACTTGAAATACCAAATAATAGCTGATGTGGGCAGTACGCATATATGGGCAGACACACACCGAAGTTTTAAGGGCAAGTTTATGGGAAATATTTTGGCTCCTATAGCCTATAGTAATTCCGTTTGTAACATCCCTAAATATTCTTCGTAGACCCCATAAACTATATACATTCATAATCAGCATAAAATTCTAAGTAGATGTAACGATGTCCGTCTGTCTGATAAAATCAGGATACAGCCCACATTTTTTGACTTAGGGCTTTAAAGTTTGGCACAACAATTTGTTTTGTGTCTAGGATGGTTGGTATTGAATATGAAATATATCCGTTCACGTTTTAGTATGGCCCCCCATATAACGATACCTCCTGATATTCGGTATTTTGATGATTTTTGCCACATTTTTCCACAGATTTATCTAAAAATTGGTATTTGTAATACATAATGGGTTCTAGCTCGGGTGGAAGAACATTGAATACCTAGGTCAACTGTTTCGTATAGTCCCCATGTAACGGTACCTCACGTTATACAGTATTTTGATGATTTTGCCATATTTTTCCGCGAATTTGTCAGAGAAATAGTATTTGTAGTTCGTAATAGTTTCTAGGTGCGGTTCACGTTTTTGTATTGCCCACATAAAATGATACCTTCTGATATTCGGTATTTTGATGGTTTTAGTCACATTTTTTACGAATTTGTCTAAAAATGGTATTTGCAGTTTATACGGGGTTCTAGCTCCGATGGCAGAACATTAAATATATAGGTCCACGTTTCACTATAGCGCGCATATAACGGTACCCAGCTATATTCAGTATTTTGATAATCTTACTCAAATTTGGTATTTAATGTTCGCTATAGATAGCAATCCTTGTAGTATAAAATTGTCTATAGATTCCCGTTTTGGTATGGCCATATAAAGGCCACACCCACTTTTTTTTTTTTTTTTTTGAAAAGATCTAACCAGTCCTACTGGTATTTTTTTAACACGTTTGAATACAGTTACTATTAAATAAAATTGTTTTCTTTACCCAATGGTAGAGGGTATTAAAGCGGACCGGCCAAACTTAGCTGCTTTTTTACTTGTTTTAAATTGGTGTTAACCCTTTAGTGGTTCGGAATATTTGAACCACTATTTCCAACCAACCGAAGAGTTATTTGAGAATTGGAATTCTCAGCATATATAATCAATTCCTGTAGAAAATTGTCATTGTAAGTACACCAATTTGAATAGGCCCCAAACCATTTACCAACCAAAAGATTTATAGTTCTGCAGTTAACGCAGTTTTTTCTTTCTTTATTGGGTATCGAAATCGAAGAGCTATATATATAATAACAACATGAATTTATTCCAAGTTTCGACTGAAATATTGATAAAATCTATATATTTTCTTCCTAAGTTTACTGCTTTTCTTAATTTGTCCATTTCTTAAATGTCCATTTAGTGTTGTTTTTATAAGAGTTTTCCCACTTCTATTTATTACTAAATATCAGATATCATAAATTTCTTCCCACTCACATCGCCAGTAATATTTCCCTAATTGAACTAATTTTCCTAACCAATTGACCCCAAAAGTAATCAGTAACTTTCTCAATTCAAGATAATTCTTTCATGATTGCTCATTAATTGTTATAAAGGATAATACTCGACCTACTTGCATACATACACATTTGGAATTTTTCTGTACGACATTCCATTCACCATGGCTACCACCTATATTGACCTTCGTTTGTCAATACAATAAAGGATATGCGTATTTCAACTTCCTATAGTTGATGAAAGTAATAATTCTTGACCTGCCATAAGTGGTTGATGTGTTGTGAATGTATGTGTGGGAATGATATGTTTGTATATATATATATATATATATATATATATAAGAATATGACAATGATAATGACATTGTTGTCATGACAACATTAATTATTCATGGTCAATCATAATAAAGGCTCATGTCCATAATGTCATCTTCACAATAGTAATAACAATCTGCCATAAAGACAACAGATTATTTACACCAGTGATGTGACGACGAGGGTCATTTGGATGAATTTTTCACAAGAAATACTTTTGGAAGCTTTTAAAATGATGTTGATAAAAAAGTTAACAATGCAATCGCCAATTGGTATTTTTATTTGGCCATAAGGTCTTCGTCTACCTTTCTGCGAATTCTTTTTCATCAAACGATTTCTCCTACAGCTATTAGTTATTTATTAAAAAGGTGAATTGAAATCTTTTTAAGGATAACCTGTTTAAATAAAACGGGTCATTGAAAATTCCTCAAATAGAAACGAAAACAGGAAATCCTAAGTCTATATGTGTTCGGTGATGTTTCCTTCTTACCTTTATTTTCCATTAAAGCAAACAACACTCTTAATTCTTACACATTTTTGTATTCGACAACAACGGAACCTTGATTTTGAAAAGCTTTTGAATTTTCCGTTTCTTTTCCTTTTGGCTTTCATTAAATTCACCTTTCACAATCGATAACTAATGAATACAAAAAAAAAAAAAAATAATGTGTGTGAATGGAAAAGGGAAATACTTAATTTGTGATTTTGAATGGTTCAAAAGAATTTATTTCTGATTGTGTGTTCCCAGAAATGGGGTTTTGGTTTTTATTAAAGCTGTTGTGTGGCATGGATTAGTGAAGGGATTGGTTGGAAGCTAGCAATTATATATTATATAAAAATTTATAACATGTATGTGTGTGTGTGTGTTTCTCTGTGAGGATTTGGCAACATATTAAGAGGGTTAAGGACGATTTGTCAGTATGTGTGTATTAGGAATTATGTTGGGTTATGAGACGATAGATGGAGGAACGAAACTTATTGATTTGAACATATGTCTGTGCAAAGAGGTCAAAGATGGCAATTAATAAGAATTGTAAGTCAAGTAAAGAGAAGAGAGATGAGAAATGTGGTTATGGTTTATGTGTGTTATGGTTTAATAAATACAAAGAAAAATACATTCAAATGAATTAAAAGAAATGTCACCTATTCTATAGAAATAATCGAAATTAATTAGTTTCAATGGATTTAAATCATACCCAAGTAGTATACATTATTTATAGAATAATTGATTTTTTTGAATCACTAAATCAAAAATATATTCCACAAAAGCCAAACTCAACGATGAAAAAATAAAAAAATAAAATGTTATGCCCTTATTTTTATGCAGAAGAATCTTCAAAATATACCAAAATCGAAATTCTTTTGGAAAATGCGAGTAAGGAAGGGGCTGGGTAAACCCACAATTTCATACTGAGAAACTAAAATCCAAAAAATACTTATTTAGTTTTTTTATTTAAAAGATTACGAAGAGTACTAAAATGTATTGAAAACAAGTCGGTTTTGCCGAAAAATCTATACCCTGAGCCGATTATATTTAAATAATATTTTGTTGTTGCAAAATGGTCAGGCTTTATCCCTTTATTGTTGTTTTTATAAAACAACGTTTGTTTATTAGTGGAGAACGATGGTAATGTTTACCAGGGGGTAAGGCAGGGAATACCTAGGTTTATCGTTCTCCACTAATAAACAAACGTTGTTTTATAAAAACAATAATAAAGGGATAAAGCCTGACCATTTTGCAACAACAAAATACTACGGTATCCCGAACAAACAAGCCACACTGTTTGTAATAATTAAAGGGTGAGATGGAAAAACTGCGAACAAATTCAGACTGCTGTCATTTCTAAGCCACTCGTCCGACAGCTGGTTAAATTATTCCAGTGGCAGCTCATTATATAGTTCAAAAGTGTACAAAAGCATTTTCGGTGAGAATTTTCCAGAACAAAAGTTATTCGTGATGGAATTTAAGCGTGATAGTGTGATTTCTTTATATTTGGCTGGAAAACCACAAGTGGCTATCGTTAGAGTACTCCAGCATTTAAATGTGACTACATCTTTTGTGTCTCGTACCACCGCTCTGATACTGGTAGCGTAGCCCGACGTCAAGAAGTGGACGGAAGAAAACAGCAACATCAGCGGAAATGGTTCGAAAAGTAAAGAAGCGACTTGGTCGCAGTGGCCGAAAAATGGATCGTGAGCTGAACATATCGCAATGTTCCATTCGGAAAATATTGAAAAATGTGCTCGGGGTAAAGCCCTTGAAATTCCAAAAAGTGCAAGAACTTACACCACAACGGAAAGAAAATAGACTCAAAAGAGCTAAAGAGTTGCTTCGCTTGGTCGAAAGTGGTGAACTGCCGAATTAGGTTTTATCCGATGAGAAAACATTCGTTGTCCAGCAGTTTGTAAACAAAAAAAATGATTCTGTTTACTTGCAAAGATGTCAGATGAAAATCTACACCTTCGGTTGGCCACCAGAACTCAATCGCCGACCATGGTGTATGGTGTGGGCCGCCATAACAGCCGATGGTCGCTCTCCGCACGTATTAATCGACCGTAGCATCAGAATAAATGCCGAATATTATCGCGAAAATATCCTGCAGGGCAGTCCAACAGGACTCAGAACCATCGCATTCAGCATGCGCCACTCAAGAATAGTTACAAAATGAGGTTCCTCGCTTATTTCTATCGCACAATGGTCACCAAAATCTCGGGATACCAATCCGTTGGATTATTGTGTCTGGAGTATTTTGGAGAGCAAGGTTGAAACTAAAAAATACCAAAGTGTCGATCATCTCAAGCAAGCGTTTCGCCGGCAATTGGCCAAAATACCGCAGATCAACATTCGGGCAGCGTGTGACGGTTTCATTGACCTTTGAACGCCATAATTCGTGCCAAAGGTGACCAATTCGAACAAATCTAAACTTATTCTTAAATTTGATGCTTTTTTCCTACTGGACATATGGAGATGATTTCGGAAATTGTACGAAAAGTACTGTAATATATTCAGTATAGGGTGAAGGGATGGAGGCTAAATTCTGAAGTTTTATATTTAGATTACTGATGGTATCTGTGTTTGATATTCAGTGGTGGTTTTGAAAGTTCGTCCTATATTTTTACGAAAAGTACTAAATGGTACTAAATTGGGTATTGGGTGATTTGGTAGAGATAAAATCCTGAAATTTAATATTAAAGTTTCTGTTGTTATCTGGAATTGAGATATGGAGGTGGTTTTGGAAATGCTTCCCATACTTGTACGAAAAGTACTACACAGTGCTAAATTTGCTATTGAGTAAAGGGATAGGTCTGGAATCCTCAAATTTGATATGGATGTGACTTGGTGTCTGTGGTTAAGAAAAGGATCTGGTTAAGGATATGCGTACTCTAATTGTTTAAAAGTTTTAACCCTCAAGCGAGTCAACAAAGGGGTCTTTTTGGGGCTTTTTTGGAAAAGTGGTTAATAATTCTCCTTAGACGGGATCGTCAAAAGTATTCTACAAAGTTATTTGTCCTAAAATAACTGTAGGTTCTAGAAGACGTCAAGAGTCTATGTCTAACCTAAACGTCAAGAATTCATACATATTTAAAACACTTTGTAAGGTTAAAGTCGTTGCTTCTGTGAGTTTATGCAAAAATCGATAACAAAACATCATTTTAGAAGAATGACTTCAAAGTAAAAAATAATCCTCATCAAATTTCACTATAAGTCACCGAAGATCGGAAATTTCTATTATCATTGTATATCAAGAATATATTTGCATCAATGTTGACAAAAAAGCTCGAAAATGTTTCCTAATTTTTTGGTAAATTTCTCCTTGGCCTTTTTTCCTGTTGACGTCTGAAATTAACATGAAATCTCATTTTAGGCAGAAGGTGTCAATAGAAGAAATATTTTATACAAAATTTCACTATAAATCTCAAAGTAAGCCATATCCTTAGCTTCAATAGTTTTTAAGAAAATCACATCAGAATTTTATGTAACACAAGTGAAAAATATGTATTTTTCTTTTTTACTGCTAATTTCAAAAATGGGCCAAAAATTCCCTTTTATCTATTTGTTTAAGGGTTAAAATCGTTAGCAAAAATATTCTCCGCACTTTGCTCCGCAATGTTGCCTGAGATACCATATACCTAAAATCAATTCCAAGGAATCTTAATTCGAAAATTTCAGAAAATGTGGAAGAGGAAGGAACTTTCCTCCTCTGTTTAGGTTACATTGCGATGTTAACATTCAAAACGCCCATACACGTTTCTTCTATTTTTAGCTCTACTTTCATAATCTGCTGGATTTGTCCTATAATTAAAAAAAAATAATAATTTTGTCGTACAGTATAATTTATAAGGCCTCGCTTCTGTCAGAAAACTAATGTAGCCTTATTTACAAATATCCAAAGAATAAATTTATTAATCTCTCTCTTTTCCTTTCCAGGGATCGTACTGGTGTAAAGGCTGGTGAATTGTTTATGTCTTTCAACTCCATATTCCAAGATGTACGCAGAGCTGTCGATTGGGTACACATACAGGGTGATTTAAAGAAAAGGACCGTTGAGGTAAGTCCCTATATAACAACATTCTACATTTTCCAATACTTACCTTTTGTCACATTGCCTCTTTTTCAGAATCTTGATTACTATGTCAAAAAGGATCCCCGCCTACCAATGGTTTTGGCACGCATTCGCGAATCGGGCGCCAAAGTGTTCTTGCTCACCAACAGCGATTATAACTTCAGCAACAAAATTATGACCTACATCTTCGATTTCCCACATGGTGCCAAGCCCGATGAACCACATCGTGATTGGAAAACCTATTTCGATGTTATTGTTGTCGATGCCCGTAAACCTTTGTTCTTTGGAGAGGGTACCATTCTGCGGCAGGTGGATACTGAAACGGGAGCCTTGAAAATCGGTACCCATATGGGCCCTCTACAGCCAGGTCAGGTATATTCTGGTGGTTCGTGTGAGGTATTCACCAATTTCATCAATGCCAAAGGCAAAGATGTCCTCTATATTGGTGATCACATTTTTGGTGATATTTTGAAATCGAAGAAGATTCGTGGTTGGCGTACATTTTTGGTGGTGCCCGAGCTCGTGCAGGAGTTACATGTGTGGACCGATAAATGTCAATTCTTTGCTGAGTTGCAGCAACTCGATTGTCAGCTGGGAGAGATGTATAAGTAAGTTGGCATTCTCAACAATTTAAAGAGGAGAGAATATCACTAAACTTTGTTATTTTCAATTTTTTTTCTAGAAATCTCGACTCGAGCAACAAAGAAAAACCCGACATTTCCAAATTGCGCGCCTCCATACGTGATGTTACCCACAAAATGGACATGGCCTATGGCATGATGGGCTCCCTCTTCCGTTCTGGTTCTCGCCAAACATTCTTCTCCAGTCAAGTGGTCAGATATGCCGATTTGTATGCGGCAACATTCTTAAATTTCATTTATTATCCATTCTCATATATGTTCCGTGCCCCGGCCATGTTATTGCCGCATGAGTCCACGGTGGCCCATGAGCAACGTTATCAAATCGAAGCACCCATGATTCAGAGAGCCAGACCAACGAAAGCAGACTCGACAACGGCCAGTGGTAGCCATGTTGCCACCGATAATGGTGCCCAAGTGGTCAAGGAGGTGGAAAAGGAAGTGGAAACTACAACAGATGAAAAGGTAAACATTTTTTTTAATTTAAATTGGAAATTTGAAGCCAGACGGAATTTGGATTTTCAAGACGGTCCGTTAGAATTGGAATCTCCAATTCAGCCCGACTAAAATTTGATTTCTATAGGAAGCTAGTCTGAATTCAGCTCCCGGCTGAATTGGAATTTGCATCGGAAATCTTCTATTCAGCTCCCTGCTGAATTGGAATTTCCATAGGAATCTTCATTGGAATTGGAATTTCCATAGGAAATCTTCAATTCAGCCTGGCTGGATTGTGGAATTTCCATAGGAAATCTTCAATTCAGCCTGGCTGGATTGTGGAATTTCCATAGGAAATCTTCAATTCAGCCTGGCTGGATTGTGGAATTTCCATAGGAAATCTTCAATTCAGCCTGGCTGGATTGTGGAATTTCCATAGGAAATCTTCAATTCAGCTTGGCTGGATTGTGGAATTTCCATAGGAAATCTTCAATTCAGCCTGGCTGGATTGTGGAATTTCCATAGGAAATCTTCAATTCAGCCTGGCTGGATTGTGGAATTTCCCTAGGAAATCTTCAATTCAGCCCAGCTACAATAAGATTTCAATTGGAAGTCTTCATTGCGATTAAAAATCAATTTTAAGTGGTGGATTTCCATAGGAAATCTTCAATTCAGCCTGGCTGGATTGTGGAATTTCCATAGGAAATCTTCAATTCAGCCTGGCTGGATTGGGGAATTTTCATAGGAAATCTTCAATTCAGCCTCGCTGGATTGGGGAATTTTCATAGGAAATCTTCAATTCAGCCCAGCTACAATAAGATTTCAATTGGAAGTCTTCATTGCGATTAAAAATCAATTTTAAGTGGTGGATTTGTATTTTATTTGGGGAGATATTTGTATGGAAAGAATATCCTAAAATATTATTTTTAATTTTTTTCCAGACCGTCACTGTACCCCACACCAGGCCAAGTACTCCCCGCACAGTTACCCATACTCACGATGAGGATTATTCCGAAGAAGAATCGGATCCCAACAATAAAAGTGATGGTGAAAATGCTGATGATGCCAATGGCAAAGAGGCTCGCAAAACTCCAAAATAAAGAGATTATTTATAATTCCTCCCATACCAACCAACCAACTCTCTATTGAACCATCCCAAAGAAGTAATACTATGTTGCTTGCATTCTAGAAGACGGTTGATCCGCATCTTCCAATTTTTTTTCTCTTTCTTCCTTTCTATTTAACAACAACAAAAAATTGTATGAAATAATTATTCTATACCTCTATACACACACTCACACGCTTACAAGGAATTTGGACTCAAAGATTTTATGGCAAATTGGATGATTTTATTAGAGATTGTACACAAAACACTTTTGTTTTTAGTTGTATGTTTTATTTCTATGTGAATTTTTTATCGTTTAATTTTATATTTAATTGAAAACAAAAGATGCATATATTCCATGTTTTTTGTTTTTAGTTTTTATTGTTCATTTATTATGTGTGATTAGAGTCGTTAAATAACAAATTTTTATACAGGTAGATGAGTATGTAATCGTGACATTATATAAACAATTTGAAAAGTAATAATAATAAAAATTAATATTCCAAAAAATATCAATTTAATTTCCATTTATAAAAGATGTGTGATGTCAAAAGATGTAAGTAAAATATAGCGCCTGAAAGTATGCTCTACATATGTGTTAGGAAATATAATGATAAAACGGCAACACTGACAATTTTGATGTTAAAGCGACATCTCTGGATTTCTATGATCGAAATGAAACAATTGACTTTTTATATTGAATTTGTATAAATAAAAACAAAGAATTCCGCTAATATTTCTATTTTGAGGGACCCACAAAATTAGTTTTAAACACCCCCAAGGAATTATAAAGGAAGTCAATGGAATTGTTTTCTTTCTATGTGATTTTATCGTTTAATTTTATATTTTATTGAAAACAAAAGTCAATGGACTGGTCACTAAGATTTTTTTGTTGGTAAATTGCGACCAAATGCAGTCAATGTCCGAAAAAAATGCAATTCATCAATATTGTAAATAAATACTCCTTCCATTTTTTTGCATTTCAATATCAACTACTTGGCAAACTTTTATCTCCAAACATCGGCTACTGCTTCACTGCCTTTTAGCCACCGATAGCATTATCAATACAAAAGACAAATAGCAAATCTAAACTTCATGCATACATAATTAATTTAGCCCTATTAACAATGGAACAACAACGGAGTACACTGAAGCGTCACCCCAACACAACACTGAATGCCAAAAATGGTACGTGATTTGAAAGTTAATTAGTAGATGTGAATGGTAAACTTACATTCAAATACATAGTTGTTGTTGGATGTATGTTTTAATAACATAAACAAATAGCAGACTCCTCCTCTATTCTGATGACAAACATTGTGTGTATGTTTGAGGGGGAGAGACATTTTTTTAACAATGCTGTAAAGTGATGGAAACAAAAGATAGAAAAAAGTTATGATTTGTAAAAAAATATGGGTTTAAGATCTCTGTCAAAAATACATTTTTCAAAAGTGCTGGAATGTATAAAAAGCTTTTAAAGTGTTCGAAAGGAACATAAGACTAAATTTGTACCTAATATTGTTCCGTACCTAATATACAATCAGTAACATCTGACACTCCGATGTAACATACACGAGAAAGAGAATAGAGTATAGAAAACTGTTTTTGATCTAAATATGATGAACATTTACAATGGGGGAAGAGAGAAAAATAATCAAAGATATGAAAAAAGTGAACATTTTAATTAGTCATTCTTCGAAAAAAGGAATTTATACCCAGAAAATTCATTAGGTTTCGAACGGAAATAAGTAGGGTAAATAAAAAATAAAAATACTCAAACGGATTTTAAGGCCGCGCTACTTTTGACATTGAAAATCCGTCATTTGCCAAACACAAACCCACAAAAGGACTGTCTATATAGCACCCGGTTGTGATATAAATCACATATAAAAATATCTCCCCATATAAGGTATTTTCATGATTTTTGCCACATTCTTATACCCTCGGCCATACAATAGAAGATATATTACATTTGTCATTTCGTTTGCAAAATTTCGAAAAATATATACAGGGCGAGATAAAAAAAAAAAACTGCAAAAAAAGTCAAATGCCATATTTTTTACATTTTTTAAAAAATTTTATTGAATAAAAGTTAAAAATGTCGGAAATAGCATCAAATTTTAGAATAAGTTTAGATTTGTTCGAATTGGTCACATTGAGCACGAATTATGGCCTTCAAACGGCCAATGAAACCGTCAAAATGTTGCTTTGCGATATTTTGGTCCATTCGCGGCGAAGAGCTTGCTTGAGGTGATCGACACTTTGGTATTTTTTAGTGCCAACCTTGCTTTCCAAAATACTCCAAACACATTAGTCCGGTATCCGGAGATTTTCTTGAGTGGCGCGTGCTGAGTGCGATGGTGCTGAGTCCTGTTGGAATGTTCAAGGTCTGCGGCCAAATTGTTTGCGTGTCCAAGGCTTTAATCGGCCCAATTACGGTTGTCGTTACTATAGTTGTCGTCGACTTTATGTGCGAGTCGCCCTCGCCGTCGCTTCTATTCAAAAATGGTATTATGGTAAGGCGTAGAAGCGACATCGACCGTTTAAAATAAAAGTTGGCAACAATTAAAAAACGTTGGCAACACTGTTATTGACAAAAAAGATATTTTTTTTGTATTTTGAATTCTAATTCCGACTCTTTCGGAAAAATAAAAATATAGTGAAAAAAAATGAAGATTATAAATGCGCTACATATACACCCTCCAGAATATTTTCCCGATTATATTCGGTATTTATTCTAATGCCACGGTCGATTAATACGAGCGGAGAGCGACCATCGGCTGTTATGGCGGCTTGTACGCTTGTAAACAATATAATGAGCTGTCACAGGATTAATTTTAACAGCTTTCGGACGAGTCGCTTAGAAATGACAGTAGTCTGAAGTTGGTTGAAGTATTTTCTTATGTGTATATTCTTGATCACCATAAAATTCTATGTCGATGTACGTCCGTCTGTGGATATCACTCTAGCTTCCGAACGAAATAAAGTAGGTTGATAAAATTTTACTCAAATGTATATTATGTCTGCAGGACATTTGGTATTGAAAATAGGCTATTTAGGTCGACGTTTTGCTACAGCCGCCATATAATGGCACCTCCCTATTTTTGATATTTTCAAATTTGGTATTTGAAGTTCGTAGTGAATACTGCAGCATATTAAAGAAAATTGTGTGTGTCGGCACCTCCCGATATTCGGTATTTTGATGATTTTAGCGACATTACTCACCCGAAATGATTCAAATTTGGTATTTGAAGTTCGTAATGGATACAACAGCCTATGACAGAAAATTGTCCGTGCAGGTCCACGGAGCTTACAGCTTTTTTACTTGTTAAAATATTGAATTCTGTCGCAGAGTATGATTATTTCCCACCACTATTTTGTGTTGGTAGTACTATCTTCCATAGAAGATAGTTGTAGTAATGAGATGCCTTCCTTGATCCACCCTGGCATTCAATTCCAAAACGTTCTCAAAGAATTAATTTTTTTTTTACAAATTTCTCCATTTATTACTTTTTTGACGTATCATAGTTTTCTTTTTGACATACCATCTCCGATATTAATGCTGTGCAGCAGTCCAGTAGCTGATGTCTTGCTAGTAGCACACACTAAATCGTCTGCTTGTTTTTTTATTCGTTTCATTTTGTATCAAACTAAAAAAATAAACCGGCTAAACATCAGTTTATTCGTCAGTTTGCAAAGAGCAATCAAAAGGCACGTATCGTAGTTATTGCGGAATCTTCGTAAACCAAAAAAGAAAAGAAAAAAAATCACGAATTTGTTTAAATTAATTAATTAGTTAAAAGTCGCAATGAGACATAGAAATATGTTGACATATATATTTCTTGTCTTGGGAAGTTTGGTGGCTGTGCAATGCGAAGAATTAGTTTGTAAGTTTAGAGGAATTCTAGAAAAAGCAAAATTATTTTTCAAAATTTTGAAAATTTAAATCTAGATCGCATGTGTGTCCCCAAAAAATACTTTGCCGATTGTCTGAACTTATTAAAGGACCCCTCGGAGGCGGGTATACACATGGAATGTATACCGGGCCGTGATCGTATTGATTGTTTGGACATGATCAATCAACGTAGGGCCGATGTCATGGCCTCCGAACCGGAGGACATGTATGTGGCCTATCATAGTCAAAATGCCGATTATCGGGTTATCTCTGAGATTCGCAGCAAGGAGGATAATGAGGGTAATATATATATTTTTTTTTTTGAATTCAACTTGAAATTTATTTTTTAATCTTTTTGTAGCTCCCTTCCGTTATGAGGGCATTATTTTGATTAAGAACAATTCCACCATCCACAGCCTCGCCGATCTGCATGGTACGAAATCTTGCCACACCGGTTTCGGTCGTACCGTTGGTTATAAAATTCCTCTAACGAAACTAAAAAATGCTGGCGTTCTACAAATTTCATTGAATCCTGAAATAACAGCCACAGAACGTGAACTCAAAACATTATCGGAATTTTTTACGGAATCTTGTATGGTGGGTAGCTATTCGCCATATCCGGAAACAGATCGCTTACTAAGTGAGTTTTATAGGAATATTTTTTGTTGAGTTATAAATTGAATAAATTATTATTTTTTAGAAAAGAAATATCCCAATCTGTGTGCCCTGTGCGAGAAACCTGACCAGTGTGATTATCCTGATATTTATTCTGGCTATGATGGAGCCATACGTTGCCTGGACAAGGGCAGAGGTGATGTGGCCTTTACCAAGGTTCAATTTGTCAAGAGATATTTTGGGGTAAGACAAAAAAAACACAGCGACATCAATAAGAAGTACAATTTTAAAAGGTATTTGTCATAGAGAGGATTTTAAGAGCTTTTGGACATAGAAGTAGAAAAGAAGAAAGAGGTATTCTTGACAGAAAAGTCTCTGAGGCCTGTTTAATAGATAGAGTCAAAGGAGATATGCTTCAGAGAGACAAAAAAGAATCTCAAAGACAAAAATATCAGAGATATTATTCATAAAGGAAAGGCTTAGGGGGCTTCTACATTAAGGAAGAGTTCAAATGTTTTCTTAAAACGCTTTCTGGGGCTCTGGAAGAGTTTTTTTCATGGTGGAGAGAGCTCAGAGTCTTCTTCATAGAGAAAAAGCTCAAATTTCTTCGTCATTGAATAATGGTTTAGAAAAAGCTCGAAAGTTTTCATATTAGAGGAATGTAAAGAATTATTCTTCATAGAGGAAGAACTTATAAGTCATCCTTATTCTTCCAAGTTGAGAAAAAGTTCAGAGGTCTTTTTTATGTAGGCGCGAACTCAGAATCTGTCTTCATAGGGGAAGATCTCAGAGGTATTCTCTATTGAAGAAAAGTTTGGAAAAGAGCTTAGAACCGGAGCTCAGAAACAAAAGAGGGGCTAACAGGTTTTTTTCATAGAGGAAAAACTCTCATAGGAAAGAGCTTAGAAGTCTTCTTTATGGGGAAAAAGCTCAGAGGGGCTAACAGGTCTTTTTCATAGAGAAAAAACTCAGAGGTCTTCCTTATAGGAAAGAGCTTAGAAGGTCTTCTTCATGGAGGAAAAGCTCAGAAATGTTTTTGATGAACGAAGAATACAGAGGTAAGGGAGATCTAAGAGGAGATCTCAGAATTCTTCCAAGTTGAGAAAAATATCCAGAGGTCTTCTTTTATAGAAGTAAGAACTCAGAAGCTGTATTTATGAGAGGGAATCTCAGAGGTGTTCTTTATTGAAGATAAGTTTAGGAAAGATCTTAGAGACAATCTTCATAAAGCCAGAGCTCAAAAACAGAATCCGAGCTAAGAGGTCTTGTTCATAGACGAATAGCTCAGAGGTCTTCCTTATAGAAAAAAGCTCAGAAGTCTTCTTTATGGAGAAAAAGCTAAGAGGTCTTCTTCATAAAGGCAAATCTCAGAGATGTACTTCAAGAAAAACTCAGAGGTGAGGAGAACCTAAGGGAAATTTTAGAAAACTTTTTAGTTGAGAAAAAGTTCAGAGGTCTTTTTGATCGAGGTTAGAACTCAGAGACTTTCTTTATAAGGGAGATCCCACATGTCTTCTTTATCAAAGAAATGTTTTGGGAAGAGTTTAGAAGTCTACTTCATAGAGCTCGAGCTCAAAAACAGAAGAAGGGCTCACAGGTCTTGTTCACAGAGGATGAGCTCAGAGGTCTTCCTTATAAAAAAGAGCTTAGAAGTCTTATTCATGGAAAAAATACATCTTCTTCTTGAGAAAAAGCTCAACGATATTCAGAGAAAAAAATCTTACAGTTATTCTACATAGAGAAATGAGAAAGTAAATATTCCTAATAAACTCTGAGTTCTCTTTCATAGAGAGAGGGTGATAGCTCAAAGGTCAAAAATATACGAGGTCTTTTTCTTAGAACGAAGTCTTATAGGCTTTCAGAGTTCAAGCGTTTAGAGGTCTTCCTAATAAAAAAGACTTGAAAGCATTTTTAAAGATGAAGAAGTCTTCTTCGCAGCGTAAGAGGTCAGGGATACTTCAGAGTGGTCCTTTATGTAGAGAGCTTAGAGTTATAATACATAGAGGAAGAGCTCAAAGCTATTCTTCTTCAGAGGTATAGAGAGCATAGTGGTCTCTGAGAGAGAGAGCTCAGTAGTCTCTGAGAGAGATCTCAGACTTTTCCTTCATACCAGTATTCGTAATAGAGAAAGATCTCGGAAGTCATCTTTTTAGAGAAGTATTTCACAGGTTTTTCATTGAAAAAGAGCTTAGGCTTAAAGCTTATGTTTTTTATAAGGTAAAGCTTCATAGAAGAATATATCAGCGCCTTCCCTTATTCCAATTTCTTTCAATTTCCAGCTAATTCCTGGCATTGTGGCCGAAGGTGATGCCTCGCAATATGATTACTTATGTGAAGATGGCAGTAGACGGCCAATTACTGGACCCGCCTGTTCATGGGCTCAACGTCCTTGGACGGGTTATATATCCAATACCCATTCCGTTCAAGGAGAAGAAAACCTACACAATTTACAAAATCGTTTGGAGAAATTCTTTGAAAATGGTCTGCATGCTCAGAATAAGGAGGCCGCTTCGCATCTGCTGATCAATGAGAATTCGGTGTATCACAGCAAATCGCATGGTGTGGAACCCAAAGAATATTTGGAGGCCGCCGGCTATAGGGATGTGATTGAACGTGATGGTTCGGATATAAGGAAAATGATGTGAGCGGAAGAGGATTTGAAGGTAATAATTCGGAATATATTAAAATTATTCTTTTGTGTGTGTTTCCAACAGAATGTGTGTCCAAACGGATATTGAATTGGAAAAATGTAATGCCATGCGTCGCGCTGCCTATTCACGTGACATACGCCCCGAAATGGAATGTGTGGAGAAGGAGGATTGTATTTCAGCTGTCAAGGAAGGCAAGGCTGATGTGACAGCTGTTAAGGCCAAGTTGAATAAAGAGGCTAGAGGAAATGGCCTGGAGGCTATTGTGTATGAGAACTATGCCGAGAATGATGTTTATGTTGCTGTGGTGGAACCTGCTCTCAGCCGAGAGAAGCTATTTTCTTCACAAATGTAAAAAATAACAAATATTCCAAAAAAAAAAATCTTCTAAAAAATTAAATTATTCTTTCAGAAACTTTGACGAACACAATGAAAGAGCCCACAAAGCGGCAGACTATCTCAATAAACTGCGCGGTATTAATTACTGTCAAACCACACCCTCAGCCGACAAGGAAATAATGATTGTCAATGCCAAGAATTTGGATCAATACAAAAATAAACAATTACTTTGCTCCAATTTGGAAAAGAAACCGATAACGGAATGGAAATCGTGTAATTTTGATGTTAACCTTCCCACGGCCGTATTTATGCGTGACACCATGACCCCCATCGAAAAGAAGACTCTGAAACATTTATTCATTTCTCTGTCGGATACTTTTGGCAAGCGATCGAAACTGTCGGATGTTTTCGCTCTATTTGGAGCATTTTCTAGAACTGAGGAAAATGTCCTCTTCGATGACAATGCTGTGGAATTTATTACCGATTTAAGAAATGCCCAAGCCAAAGAAGAACTCTATGAAAGTTTAAGCTGTGCATAAATTTTGAACCAAAAAATTGCGAGTTTCGAATTTTTGTGAAATATAAAATAATCAATTCAAAGATTTTAATAAAAACATTATTTAAAATATATAAAAGAGTTGTAAAATAACTGACTGACGGATAATCAACGCCCACATGAAACGGCAGAAGCTAGAATCTTGACATTTTGCAAGAGGGTCAGTCAGTCTTGATGCTTAGGCGTGTGATTTTCGTAATTTCGCACTAAAATGAGACGAAAAGTGCTATTTTGGAAAATTCGAACTAAAAGGACACAAAAGTACTAAAATGTACTAAAAATTGAATACTTTTTATTGAGCAAACTGAATGAGCTGAAACTTGGAATGGGATTCACTGATGAAGTGTAGAATAGATGTACCAAAAGTTTTTTTTTTTTTTTTTTTTTGAAATTAGAACTTTAAGGTTACGAAAAGTTGTAAAACGGTACTAAACTTCTAAAATGGTACAATTTGGTATTATTGAATAGATAGGGATAAAAAATTGAAATTTGGTATGAGAATCAAGGCTAGAAAGTAAGTTTGATATATTATCCTGGGCATGTGGAGGTGGTTTCGGAAATGTGTACTTTAATTGTACGAAAAGCACTGAATGGTACTATATTTGGTATTGGGTGAAGGGATAGAGATAAAATCCTGAAATTTGATATTTTATTTACTGATGGTATCTCTGTTTGAGATTTGGCATTGGTTTGGAAATGTGTCCAATAATTGTACATACTAAACTTGGTATTGGTTTTAGGGAAAGGGCTGGAATCCCAAAATTTGATATAAAATTTAAAATTTGTTTGATAAGTTTCCGTTGGTATGTGGTGTTGAGACCTGAAGTTGGTTTCGGAAAAGAGTACGATAAGTACTAAATAGTACTAAATTTGGTATTGGGTGAAGGGATAGAGCAGAAATCCTAAAGTTTGATATTGAGGTCTCTGTTGGTATCTTGAATTGAGATATGGAGATGATTTTTAGAAATTTATACTATAAGTGTACAAAAAGTACTAAATGGTACTAAATTTTGGTATTTGGTGAAGAGATAGAGCTGAAATCCTGAAATTAGATATTGAGGTCTCTGTTGGTATTTTGAATGAAGATATGGAGTTGGTTTTATAAATGTGTACTATAATTGTACGAAAAGTACTAAATAATACTAAATTTGGTATTGGATTAAGGGATAGGGCTGGAATCCCAAAATTTGATATTGGGGTTTCCGTTGGTATGTGGTGTTGAGACCTGAAGTTGGTTTTGGAAAAGATATGCTAAGTACTAAATGGTACAAAATTTGGCATTGGGTGAAGGGATAGAGCAGAAATTCTGTAGTTTGATGTTGAGGTCTTTGTTGGTATCTGGAATTGTGATATGGAGTTGGTTTTTTGGAAATGTGTACTATAATTGTACTAAAACTACTTAGTGGTACTAAATTTGGTAATGGATGAAGGGAAAGGGCTGGAATCCTTAAATTTGATATAAAAGTACTAAATTGCACTAAACTTGGTATTGGGTGAAGGGATAGAACTGAAACCGTGAAATTTTATATTGCGTTAACTGTTGGTGTCTAGGATTGCGATATGGAACGGATTTGTAAATTAGTACTTAAATTATACGAAAAGTACTAAATAGCCCTAAATTTTGTATAGGGTGAATGTGTAGAACTGGAATCCCGAAATTTGATATTGAGGTTTCAGTTGGTATGTGGTCTTGAGATCTGGTCGCGATTTTCTAAATGTATAGTATATTTGTACGAAAAATACTAATGGTACTAAATTTGGTATTGGGGGAAGGGATAGGGCTGGAATCCTCAAATTTCATATTGAGGTTTCTGTTGGTATGTTGTCTTGAGATCAGTGGTGGATTTTGCAAATGTACTAAAGTACTAAATTTTTCTACTAAAAGTACTAAATAGTACTAAATTGGGTATTGGGTGAAGAAATAGAGCTAGAATCCCGAAATTTTATATTGAGGTCTCTGATGGTATCTCGTGGTGATTTTGCAAATATGTACTATAATTGTGTAGGATGCGGAGATGTAGATTGTTGTAGATATGCGATATAGCCGATATTGATAGAATTGTCTTCTTTTTATACCCTCCACCATTTTATGGAGGGTATATTAGCTTTGTCATTCCGTTTGTAACTCCTCGAAATATTTCTGGAAGACCCTACAAAGTATACATATTCTGGATCAGCGTTAAATTCTCAAACGATTTAGCGATGTCGTCTGTCTGCCTGTATGCTGTAATCACGCTATCCTTCGAACAAATTGAGACAGACGGCTAAAATTTTGCATCCATAAATATTTTCCCAGTGGGCAGGTTAAGTTCGTAAATGGACAATATCGGTCCACGTTTCCGTATAGCTCCCATATAACGGTACCTCCCGGTATTTTCATGATTTTAGCGACATTATTTACCGGAATTATTTCAAATTTTGTATTTTAAGTTCTTAATGGGTACTACAGTCCATGACAAAATTTTTTGTATGCAGATCAACGTCTTCGTATATCCTTCATATAACGTTACCTCCCGATATTCGGTATTTATACCCTACACCACAAGGTGGTCAGGGTATTATGTCTTTGTGCATTTGTTTGTAACAGGCAGAAGGAAACGAGATAGACCCATAGTTCCTTTTGATGATCTGCATAGAATCACATTCTGAGTCGATTTATGCATGTCCGTCCGTCCGTCTGTCCGTCCGTCCGTCCGTCTGTCCGTCCGTCCGTCCGTCTGTCCATGTATTTTTGTAAACAAAGTACAGGTCGCATTTATTGCCCGATCCAGATGAAATTTTGCAAAGGTCTTTTGATTGGCCTAAGGACGAACCCTATTGAAATTGGAGATAATCGGTCAAAATTTGGATATAGCTCCCATATATATCTTCGTCCGATTTGACTTTTATTGTGCACCAAACGTGTAATATCAGCCCGAATTGTATGGAATTTTGCACATACACCCATATTAGGCCTGAAAATATGTATGCCAAATTTGATCGAAATCGGTTCAGATATAGCTATAGCTCCCAAATATATTGTTCATCCGATTTGTTATTTTTGTCCACCGCCACCGTAATATGCACTATGCAACAACAATATTTGGGGAAATATATCAAATACAGCTCAGAAATACATTTGCTAAATTTTATCGAGATCGGTTCAGATTTGGATATAGCTCCCATATATAACATCGTCCGATTTACCTTTTATTGTGCACCAAACGTCTAATATTTGTCCAAATGGGATGGAATTTGGCACTTACGACCGAATTGAGTCTAGTAGCTAGTATGTCAAATTTGGTTCAGATCGGTTCAGATATAGCTATAGCTCCCAAATATATTGTTCATCCGATTTGTTATATTTGTTACCCACAGCCGTAATATGCACTCTGTAACAACGATATTCAGGGAAATATATCAAATACAGCTCAGAAATATCGTTGCCAAAGTTTATCGAGATCGGTTCAGATTTGGATATAACTCCCATATATATCTTTATCCGATTTCAAATTAATTGTGCACCAAATGGGCAATACAATTCCGAATTTAGTCCTTTGAACTTTAAATTATAATTATAATCATAGCGTGTATGATTGAATTCTCCCATAGAAACTTTTAATTGTTATGTGGAGCTCTACTTAATTAGCAAAGTGGTGTAGGGTATCATAAAGTCGGCGCCGCCCGACTTTAAGACTTTCTTTACTGGTTTTATTATATTTGCGACATCATTCATCGGAATTGTTACAAATTTCGTATTTAAAGTTCGTAATGGGTACTACGGCCTATGACAAAATATTTCGTATGCAGGTCCACGTCTTCGTATATCCACCATATAGCGGTACATCCCGATATTCGGTATTTTCATGATTTTTGCGACATTATTCACCGGAATTGTTTCAAATTTGGCATTTGAAGTTCATAATGGATACTACAGCCTATGACAAAAAATTTCGTATGCAGGTCCACGACTTCGTATAGCCCCCATATTTCACCGGAATTGTTTCAAGTTTGGTATTTGAAGTATGGATACTACAGCCTATGACAGAAAATTGTCTGTGCAGGTCCACGTCTTCGTATAGTCCCCATATAACGGTATTCATTTAAGTGGTAGTTTTCGGATTTTTTTTTCGAAAATTTTCAAGTTCCTTCCAAATGGTGAAGGGTATTAAAAGGTTTGACCGGCCGAACTTAACTGCTGTTTTTCTTGTTTAACTCTACTTTCATGATCTGTTGGATTTTCCCCGTGATTATTGAAAAAATGAATTTTGTCGCACATTATTTTGGGAAAATAGGAAAATTTCGACGTTACTCATTACTTAGTTTCAATTATCAATTTTTATAAATTATGTACATAAATTAACCAAATAATTAAAAAAATCACATATTTGATTCTTCTCAATATTTGTTTTATTTTTTTAAATACTATTGGCTTCCCAAGAAACCATCCAATTAGTGCTTCACAATGGTATTACCATCACATGACAATCCCTGGTAAATTCTTTCGCTGGTATTTTCATTCTTCAACTCGGTAATAAATTCCACAGCATTGTCGCTGAACAGAACATCACGGTTCTCCTTCTTATAGGGGCCGAATAGAGCAAAGACATCCGGAACTTTACCATTTCTACCAAATTTCTCCGAAAGTGAAACGAACAAATGTTTCAAGGTCTCCTGTTCGACACGGGTCATGGAATCGCGTACGAATATGGCCACCGGTAGATTGGCTTCACAATTACAATTTTGCCAATCGCTCACCGGTTTCCTCTCCTTGTTGGGACACAGCAATTGTTTATTTTTATATTCATTCAATTCCATGGCATTGACAATCATGATGTTCTTCTCCGACGAGGGTGCATTCTGGCAGGCGGTAATGCCACGCATTTTGTTGAGATAATCGGCTGCTTTGTGGGCCCTCTCATCCTGACCATTGAAGAAACTGTAAAGGAAAATTATTGGCGTTATTTGGAAATATCGGTTTTTGGCTTCTTCTTCTACTTACATGGGCATATTTTGTAAATTATCCAGAGTTGGTTCCACCACCGCAACATATACATCGTTTTTATCATAAGCCTCATAGACAATGGGCTTGAGCTTAACATCGCGGGCATCCTTGTAATTCCGGGCCCGAACAGCTGTCATATCGGCCTTCTTGTCCTTGACAGCGTATATGCAATCCCTCTCCTGTACACACTCAATTTCGGGACGTATATCACGGGAATAGGCAGCACGACGCATGGTATCGCATTTTTGCATTTCAATATCGGTCTGGACACACATTCTTGGGAAGGAGGGGAAATTTTAAAAAATGTTAAATTTTATTTGAAAGGACGACTTACTTCATTTTCCTTATGGCCGAGCCATCACGTTCAATGACATCCTTGTAGCCGGCCTTTTCCAAATATTCCTTGGGATCAACAGCCTGTGGTTTGCTGTGATAGACAGCATTGGGATTGATCAAGAGATGTGAGGCGGCCTCCTTATTTTCGGCATGTAAACCATTTTCGAAGAATTTTTCCAAACGCTGCTGTAGATTGTGGAATTTTTGTTCCCCCTTCACGGCATCAGTATTCGAAATGTAGCCAGTCCATGGACGCTGAGCCCATGAACAGGCGGGTCCACTGATTGGTCGTCTGGTGCCATCTTCACACAAATATTCAAACTGCGAGGGATCACCTTCAGCAGCAACATTTGGAACCATCTGAAAATAAAATAATTTTGAAAAAATATTATTAACCTCTAAATATAAATTATTTAGGAAATTAAGAATTGTTGTTTATTAATAGAAATTTATGATCTCCCTATCTGGAAGGAATTACAGTGGGCAACTCAAAAAATAATCACAGGAAAAATTCAGCAGATAAAGCTAGAACAGACACGTATCTGTTAAAAAAAATTAAAAAAAAATTAGAAGAAGAGGTGTTTTAAAAGTTTACATGGCAAAGTAACTTAATAGTTACACCCTCTATTTAGGTTACTTTGCTACATAAATTTTCAAAACTCCCCCTCTTCCACATTTTTTCATATTTTTTTTCGTACTAAGATTCCTTAGAACTCTTACATTTTAGATATATAGTGCCTTTGGCAATATTATAGATACCAACACGAGGATTATCTCGGTCTAACATTTTAACCCTTAAGCAAGCCTTCAAATGGGTCTTTTTGGTCCTTTTTTCTCGAAAAATGGTTAAAAACTCTCTTTAAACGGGATGGTAGGAAGCTAAAATATTCCACAAAATTATTTATCATAAAATTCTACTATGAGTCTCAGAAGATATCAAAAGTCTAAATCTTTTCTAAACGCCAGGAAATAAAAAATACTAAAAGGCCATTTTTGGGGTTAAAACAGTACTTCATACGAGTTTCTTGCCAATTCTCCTATAGAAGGAATACTCCAAAAAGAAAATTAATCATCGACAAATTTCGCTATAAGTCACCAAAGACAAAAAATCTATATTTCCATTATATATCAGGAAAATACTTCCATAAATTATACCAAAAAAATAAACCGAAATACAGGTTGACATGAAAAAACTGCAACCAAGTTCAGACTGCTGTCATTTCTAAGCCACTCGTCCGACATCTATTAAAATTATTCCAATGACAGCTCATTATATTGTTTACAAGCGTGCAAAAGCATTCTGGCGAGAATTTCCCAGAAAAAAGGTTATTCGTGGTGGAATACAAGCGTGATAGTGTGATTTCTTTATATTTGGCTGGAAAACCACAAGTGGCTATTGTTAGAGTACTCCAGCATTTAAATGTGAATAAATCTATTCTGTCTCGTACCATCGCGTTACCGTGATACTGGTAGAGTAGCCCGACGTCAAGGAAGTGGACGGAAGAAAACAGCAACATCAGCAGAAATGGTTCGAAAAATAAAGAAGCGACTTAATCGAAACCCACGTCGCAGTGGCCGAAAAATGGCTCGTAAGCTGAACATATCGCAATATTCTATTCGGCAAATATTGAAAAATGAGTTCGGGGTAAAGCCATTGAAATTCCAAAAATTGCAAGAACTTACACCGCAACAGCAAGAAAATAGACTCAAAAGAGCTAAAGAGTTGCTTCTCTTGGCCGAAAGTGGTGAACTGCCGAATTTGATTTTCTCCGATGAGAAAGCATTTGTTGTCCAGCAGTCTGTAAACAAACAAAATGAAAGTGTTTACTTGCCAAGGAGAGGTCAGCTGAAAATGTGCACCTTCGGCTGGCCACCAGAATTCAAGCGCCGGCCATGGTGATGGTGCTGGCCTCCATAGCAGCCGATGGTCGCTCTCCGCTCGTATTAATCGACCGTGGCATCAGAACAAATGCCGAATATTATCGCGAAAATATTCTGGAGGGTGTATTAAAGCATTGGGCACGCAAACATTTTGGCCACAAAACTTGGACATTCCAACAGGACTCAGCACCATCGCATTCAGCACACGCCACCCAAGAATGGTTACAAAATAAGGTTACTCGCTCAATTTCCAACGCAAAATGGCCACCAAAATCTCCGGATATCATTCCGTTGGACTATTGGGTCTGGAGTAATTTGGGAAGCAAGGTTGGCACTAAAAAACTACCAAAGTGTCGATCACCTCAAGCAAGCGCTTCGCTGGGAATGATCCAAAATACCGCAGAGCAACATTCGGGCATAGTGTGACGGTTTCATTGTCCGTTTGAAGGCCATAATTCGTGCCAAATGTGACCAATTCGAACAAATCTAAATTTATTCTAAAATTTTATGCTATTTCCGATATTTTTTCCTTTCATTCAATAAAATTAAGAAAAAAATGTAAGAATGATGGCCTTTGACTTTTTGCAGTTTTTTTTATCTCACCCTGTAAATATATCCTCAATCAGCGTAAAATTCTAAGGCGATCTATCCCTGTTCGCCCGTCCATCTGTTGTAATCAAAGGAATAAAGATAGAAAGCTAAAATCACAGCACAGATCAGTCTTTTGTCTTCAGGCAGGACAAGTTCGAAGATGGGCTATAAGACTCCATGATATCGTATAGCCCCCATATAACGGTACCCCCGATATTCGGTATTTTGATGATTTTAGACAAAAATGTTCAATGTAATTGTTTGAAAATCCACAAAAGGAGTTCCTTCAGAGTACTTTACACCCTGGAAGATTATGCCCCATATGACGGTACCTCCCTATAGTCGGTATATAATTGATGTCTAAAAGCCATACTAGAAGTTCTTTTTAAGCACTTTACTCCCTGGAAGAGAAATGTCTATATAGGTTCACATACAACCCCCCAATATTCGATATTTGTATGATTTTAGGGACATTATTCGGAGGGACATTGTTCGTATTTAGAATTCGGGTGCTACAGTCTATGACAAAAAATTGCGTATGCAGGCCCACGTCTTCATATAGCCTCCATATAACGCTACCTCCCAATATTCGGTATTTTGATGATTTTAGCGACATTATTCAACGGGGTTGTTTTAAGTTTCGTATTTAGAGTTGGTAATGGGAACTACAGTCTATGACAGAAAATTGTCTATGCAGATCCAGATCTTCGTATAGGCCCCATATATCAGTACCTCCCGATATTCGGTGTTTGATGATTTTAGCGAAAATATTCACCGAAATTGTTTGAAATTTCGTATTTAAAATTCCTAATAGGTACTACAGCTAGGTCTTCGCATAGCCCTATATAACGGAACCTCCCTATATTCAGTATTTTGATGATTTTAGCTACATTATTCACCTGGTTTTTTCAAGTTTCGCATTTGAATATTTTAAGGGCTTATGGCGAAAGTTGCCTATGCAGAACCCCGTCGTCGTATACACCCTACATTCGGTATTTTTAAGATTTCAATTTTTAATTTTGAAAATTGCCAAATTCGTACCAAATGATGGAGGGCCCGGCCGAACTTGTTTTCACTAGTATGGATAACTTATACAAAGTGGATGAGTTATACACCATCGTGGATAACTCATTCACCATAGTGGCTATTTTATCCGTTAACATATACAAATTATGTAACTTATCTACCACTATGTCAAATCTATGGCGAATATTTTATCCATAACCAAGGATAGTAGTGTCACATTCAACTTATACTTACCCCGAAATATTTTTTGATAAATTGAACTTTGGTAAAGGCTACATCACCCTTGCCCTTGTCCAGACAGCGTATGGCACCATCATAACCCGAAAACTTATCCGGATAGTTGCATTGTTCGGGTTTCTCACACAACGCGCACAAATTGGGATATTTTTTCTCTGGAAATCGAAAACAATTATTTCAAAATAAAATAAAAAAAATATAAAATCTCCATCACTCACTCAACAGACGATCTGTTTCGGGGTATGGCGAATAGGTGCCCACCAAACACGACTGGGAAAAGAATTCCGACAATGCCTTTAACTCACGTTCGGTGGCTGTCAATTCGGGATCCATTGATACTTTCAAAATGTGATGATTTTTCAATTTTGTCACTGGAATTCTAAAGCCAACATTGCGTCCGAAACCGGTGTGACAGGATTTGGCACCACGCAACTCCTTTAAACTATGAATGGGGGAATTTTTCTTTACCAAAATAACGCCTTCATAACGGAAGGGAGCTACAGCGAGACAAAGAAAAATAATAGTCTCTCCTCTCAAAATACATTTAAATTTTTTAAATCTCACCCTCAGCATCATCCTTGGTACGTATCTCCGATATCACCTTGTAATCGGAATTTTTCGTATGATAGGCCACATACATATCCTCCGGTTCGGATGCCAAGACATCAGCCTTGCGTTGATTTATCATGTCCAGACAATCGATACGATCTCGACCCGCTACACATTCCATTTTGATGCCAGCCTCCGAGGGATCCTTTAGCAAATTCAAACAATCCTCATAGTACACATGGGGAACACACATGCGATCTAGGGATAAGGGTTCAAAATTCAATATTTTTATTCGAAATCACCTTTATTGTTTTCAAGACTTACAAATCTGTTCATCGCCCTGGGCTATGGCAACCATACCCAGCATGGCAATTGCCAGGCCAATACTCTTAGTTGAAAATCTCATTTTCTTTTCTAATACCCAAAGAATTTCGAATGTTTGTTGTCCTCTCCACAAATATTCTTCCTTACTGATGAGTGCTTTACAACCAACCGGTTTCTTTATATAGCCATGGATCGCACGTTCACGTCTTAAGTTCATCTGCTGCAGTAGCTTGATATTGGCTTGCACACATTCACACCTCCTGGGTTATCTCGCAGAGGCTATCTGTCGTATTAGGCGGCGGTGCAGTACCGCAGATTTCAATTAATCCACAGTGTGGTACAAAAGTATTCAAACTTGACAAATTATTCAAAAACGTGAATAAATTTCCAAAAAATTAAATTAATTTATTATTCAAAAACATTGAAGGCTATGCTATCATAAATGAAGGTAAAATAAATAATCTAAAAAAAAATATTAGTTATCTCAAAAAAAAAAAAAAAAATATGAAAAGTCATCCTACACTGTGCCTAAATAATTAGAAACCTGAATTAACCCAAAAATTTAATGAAGTAACGAAAATCCTGGTTTAATTTAAATAAAATAGTACTATACAAGGTCAGATGAAAAACTACAGCCAAATTCAGACTGCTGTCATTTCTAAGCCAGTACACAGTACATTCCAGTACATACAGCTCATTATATTGTTTACAAGCGTACCAAAGCATTTTGGTGAGAATTTTCCAGAAAAAAAGTTATTCGTGATGGAATTCAAGCGTGATAGTGTGATTTCTTTATATTTCGATGGAAAACCACAAGTGGCTATCGTTAGAACACTCCAGCATTCAAATGTGCTCGTACCATCCCTCATTACCGTGATACTGGTAGCGTAGCCCGCCGTCAAGGAAGTGGGCGGAACAAAATAGCAACATCAGCAGAAATGGTTCGAAAAGTAAAGAAGCGATCGAAACCCGCGTCGGAGTGGCCGAAAAATTGCTTGTCAGCTGAACATATAATATTGAACAACTAAGAAAGCAGTATATTCGGCCAGGCCGAACTTTGAATACCCTCTACCATTTGGAGCAAATTAGAAAATTTAAAAAAAAAAAAAAAACCTTTAAATATTCTGTTAAAATCTTTAAAATACCTAATATCGGTAGGTGCCGATATATGGGGGATATACGATATTGCGGACCAATATAGACAAATCTATGTGTAAGGGTAAAGTACTCACAAAGAACTCCTTGTGTAGAATTTTAAACAATTCCGTTAAAAAAATATGGTTAAAATCATCAAAATATCGAATATCGGGGGTTACCGTTATATTGGGGATATACGATCTGGTGGACCTATATAGACAATTCTTTTTCAGGGGGTAAAGTACTCACAATGAATTCCTTGTGTGTTTAATTACAGACAATTCCATTGAAAAATGTGGCTAAAATCAAAGTACCGAATATCGGGGGTACCGTTATATGAAGGTTATACGATATCGTTAACCTATATAAAGAATTCTCCGTCAGGGGGTAAAGTGTTCACAAAAAACCCCTAGTGTAGAATTTGAGACAATTCCGTTGAAAAATGTTGCTAAAATCATCAAAATACCGAATATCGTGGGGTACCGTTATATGAGGGATATACGATATTTTGGACTCCCTTTCAGGGAGTAAAGTGCTCACAATGAACTCCTTGTGCGGAATTTTAGACATTTGCATTGAAAAATGTGGCTGAAATCATAAAAAAACCGAATATCGGGGGGTACCGTTATATCCCCGATATCGTGGACCTATATATATTTAATTCTCTTCCAGGGGATAAAATACGCACAAGGAACTTCTTGTGTGGATTTTCAGACAATTCCGTTGAAAATGTGGCTAAAATCATAAAAATGCCGAATATCGGGGGTACCGTTATATGGGGGCTATACGATATTGTGGACCTATATAGATAATTCTCTGCCGAGGTATAAAGTACCCACAAGGAACTACTTGTGTGGATTTTCAGACAATTCCATTGAAAAATGTGGCTAACATCATCAAAATACCGAATATCGGGGGTACCGTTATATGGGGGATATACGATATCGTGGATCGATAAAGCCCATCTTCGAACTTGACCTGCCTGCAGACAAAAGAAAGACCTGTGCAAAATTTTAGCTTCCTATATTAATTCCTTTTTACTGTAGCGTGATTACAACAGACGGACGGACGGACAGGGCTAAATCGTCTTAGAATTTTACGCTGATCAAGAATATATATACTTTGTTGGTTCTAAAATGATTATTTCGATGAGTTACAAACGGAATGACGAACTTAATATACCCTCCATACTATGTATGGTGGAGGGTATAAAAATGAGCTAGCGGTAAAGTCATTGAAATTCCAAAAAGTGCAAGAATTTACACCGCAACAGAAAGAAAATAAACTCAAAAGAGCTAAAGATTTGCTTATTTTGGCCGCTTTGTGGGGAACTGCCGAATTTGGTTTTCTCCGATGAGAAAATATTCGTTGAGCAACAGTTTGTAAACAAACAAAATGATCGTGTTTATTTGCCAAAGAGGTCACATGAAAATGTGTACCTTCGGTTGGCCCGAGGTTCGCTCTTCGCTCGTATTAATCGACCGTGGCATTAGAATAAATGCCGAATATAATCGCGAAAATATTCTAGAGCGTGTATTAAAGCCTTGGGCACGCAAACATTTTGGCCGGAGACCTTGGACATTCCAACATTACTTAGCACCATCGAACTCAGCACGCGCCACCCATGAATGGTTACAAAATGAAGTTCCACGCTTCATTTCCAGCGCACAATGGCCACCAAAATCTCCGGATTGTGTCTGGAGTATTTTGGAAAACAAGGTTGGCACTAAAAAATACCAAGTTTCGATCATCTCAAGCAAGCGCTTCGCCGGGCCAAAATACCGCAGAGCAACATTCGGGCAGCGTATGACGGTTTTATTGGCCATAATTCGTGCCAAAGGTGAGCAAATCGAACAAATCTAAACTTATTCTAAAATTCTATTTCCGACATTTTTTGCTTTCATTCAATAAAATTTAAAAAAACTTTGTTGCAGTTTTTTATCTCACCCTGCATATACTTTATGGGATCTACGACGAATATTTAGGGATGTTACAAACGGAATGGCGAAGTTAATATACCCTCCTTTATAAGATAGAGGGTATAAAATTTAAACATTTATCAAAATTTATCTGAATATATGTAAATATTTAAGAAATTATTAAACATAGATTATGCTGTAATTCATGATCATATTTTGTGTAAAATACATTTTCTTTGAAAGCTTTCTGTTAAAAAGGAAATTTTGTGTTTCTTTGAGGCGTCAACTCGAAAAAATACAGAGAAAAATGTTAGCAAAAATTATAAAATATTTTCGCTTTTTTTGCAACATTGATACAGATATTTTTTCGATATACAGAGGAAATAGGACTTCGCTTTCTTTGATGACCTATAGTGAAATTTGATGAAGAATAATTTTTTCTTTGACATTATCCTTTTAAAATGACACCTTATAGGAGATTTTGGCGTAAACTCACCTAAAATGTGTTTTAATACAAATTTCTGCCGTTTAGGTAAGAGCTAGAAGTCTTTTTACGACTCCCAGATCCTGTAGTAGAATTTTATGACAAAAAATTTTGTAGAATATTTTGACTTCATACGATCTTGTTTAACAGGAGTTTTTATCTGTATTTAAAAAAATGACCAAAAAGACCTATTTCAAAGCTAGCTTGAGGGATAAAATTGTCAATGCAAGGATACTGTAATATTGCTCAAGACCCTAGACACCTAAAATAAACGAAGTCCAAGGAATATTAATTCGAAATTTTCTAAAAATGTAGTAGAGGGCTAAACATGCCCCCTCTATTTATGTTACTTTGATATGAAATCTTTCAAAACGCCTATATTTTTATTTTTTTTTTATTTTTAGCTCTACTTTCATAACCTGCTAAATTTGTTCTGTTTAAATTTAAATTATTCAAACATTATTATTACTATTATTTGCTCTGTTCCAGAACCTGGAAGAATCTACTATTTTTGAATTTTTATCGATTTCATAAAGGGAAAATCGGTTATCGTTCTAAAAACTTTTACATTCTAGCAGTAGGTGTGTCTGGTTACCCTAAAGTTTGTAACAATTGTTACAAATTGATACTGGAAGTCGTCTGTTAACCCAAAAATTCTGCAAAAGAGATCGGTTGGAGAGAGAAATTTTGACAGTTCTTTCAGTGAGAGTTTGCACATTCTTGCTGGACAAATTTCTTCTTGCAATCTCTTGCAACTCTTCTTCTTCTCATTCATCGACATTCAATCAGATGTTTTCTATTGTTTATTTATTTCTTTTTGTGATTTTAATTTGAAAATATTGTTTTGGAATTAGCAAGACTAATTGTTTTTAGAGAACAACTTTACAAAATGTGAAAAACGTAAATGTTAATATGTAATAAGAAAATAAAAGACTATATCCAACATTTTTATTTAAAAAACTTGTAAAATTAATATTGGTTCCTTTGTTTTAATTCTCCATATGGGGACAAATTGGTTTGTTTTGAAAAATCAGCTGATTAGTTGCAAGCTTCTGCAGGAATAGCGTCTGTTTACTTTTTGCATTTTCCTTGCAAAAGAGAATAAAACTACCTTACTCTCTCAGAAAGAAGTTGCTGGACAATTCCTGCTGGAAAAGTAACCAGACACACATAGTTCTTGAGCAGACTAATTATTATTATTATTTCTGAAAAATCGAATGTAAATTATTTAAAAATTTAATTTTAATTTAACTTCAAATTAGAAATTAATCTCCAGGATTTATTTTTAAAAACATTGCGAACATTTTCTACCTTCTAGTGTATCAATCTTCATATCACCGCACATCTGCCATCTGTATAGTTTTAATCTCGACTTGAGTGCGAGGGAACCCCATTTCAAATGGAGGTACAATTACAAATTGCAGGGCACATTTGTTGCTCTATTTGATTTGATTTAATTGCTAAGACAAAACAAAATGCAGATTATGCAAAAATTAATACAAATTTCCCAGAAATATTTGATAACTCAAATTGAACAGTTGGTTTCTAAAAATAAATGCATTTTAAAAGAAAAGCACAAACAAATGATTTATAAAGTGAACTTTTAGAAAACTTTCAATAAATTATCACTTTGCCTTCCTTCCATTCTGTAGACGACACAATGTCCAAAGTGTCATATAAATCATAAAAAATACAATTGAATGTTGGTACTTTTTTCATATCACCAGTCCAGGAATCCCCACATAATTAAATCAAGGTCATATTAAAAATATATATTATATGTTTTTTATTAGTTCCGATCGGGAATACTTATACATTAGGGGATTTTCGACATATCTTTCATGAAGTTTAAAACCGAATGAAAATTTTAGCGCCCCAGCAACGTACCCCGAAGTGCAATTCAAACTCAGTGATCCATAGAAACAAAAATGGATTTTCCATGTAAAATCTGCAAAAAGGGTTCAAATGCGCAGGGTCCAAGGACTGACCTGCGAAAATCCCTCATATCCTCAATCTTATGTATTCCCACTATGGAAAAATGTATGCAAATAAATTTGGTAAAAATTGATGATTTTTAAAATTCAAATTGTTATAGATTTACAGGGTGAGATAAAAAAAAACTGCAAAAAAGTCAAACGCCATAATTTTTACATTTTTTTTTTTAAATTTTATTGAACCAAAGCACGAATTGGTCACCTTAGGGACGAATTATGGGCTTCAAACTTCCAATGAAACCGTCACACGCTGCCCGAATGTTGCTCTGCGGTATTTTGGCCCATTCCCGGCGAAGCGCTTGCTTGAGGTGATCAACACTTTGGTATTTTTTAGAGTCAATCTTGCTTTCCAAAATACTCCAGACACAATAGTCCAACGGATTGGCATCCGGAGATTTTGGTGGCAATTGTGCGCTGGAAATGAAACGAGGAACCTAATTTTGTAACCATTCTTGGGTGGCGTGTGCTGAGTTCTGTTGGAATGTCCAAGGTCTGCGGCCAAAATGTTTGCGTACCCAAGGCTTTGATACACCCTCCAAAATATTTTCGCGATAATATTCCGCATTAATTTTGATGTCACGGCCGTTTAATACGAGCGGAGAGCGAGTATCGGCAGTTATGGCGGCCCACACCATCACCATGGCCGGCGCTTCAGTTCGAGTGGCCAACCGAAGCAGCCCATTTTCAGCTGACCTCTTTGGCAAGTAAACACGATCATGTTTTCTCATCGGAGAAAACCAAATTCGGCAGTTCACCACTTTCGCCAAGCGAAGCAATTCTTTAGCTCTTTTGAATCTATTTTCTTTCTTTCTTCCTTTGCGGTGTAAGTTCTTGCACTTTTTGGAATTCCAATGGCTTTACCCCCAGCTCAGTTTTCAATATTTACCGAATGGAATATTGCAATATGTTCAGATCACGAGCTATTTTTCGGCCACTGCGACGCGATTGATTTTTCTGTTTTCTTCCGTCCATTTCCTTGACGTCGGGCTACGCTACCAGTATCACGGTAACGAACATTTTTTTCATCTCGGTCCACGATATCGTATAGCCCGCATATAAGGATACCCCCGATATTCGGTATTTTGATGATTGTATTCAAATTTTTCAATGAAATTGTCTGAAAATCCAAAAAAGGGGGTTCCTTCTGGAAGACTATTGTCTATATAGGTCCACGATATCATATATCCCCCATATAACGATACCCCCTATATTCTGTATTTTGATGATTTTAACTACAATTTTCAATGGAATTATCTAAAAATTCATACTAGAAGTTCTTTCTAAGCACCCGCTGCTATCCCCCGATATTCGATATTTTGCCGATTTTAGGGACATATTAACCGGAGTTGTTTCAAATTTCGTTTTTAGAATTCGGAATGGGTATTACAGCCTATGACAAAAAATTGCGTATGCAGGCCAACGACTTCATATAGCCTCCATATAACGGTACCTCCCAATATTCAATATTTCAATGATTTTTGCGACATTTTCACCGGAGTTGTATCAAATTTTGTATGTAGGGTTCGTAATGGGAACTACATTCTATGCCAGATAATTGTCTATTCAGGTTGAGGTCTTCGTATAGGCCCCATATATAAGTACCTCCTTATATTCGATATTTTGACATGGTTTTAAGGCCGGATTACCAGAAATTGTTTGAAAGTTCGTTTTTGAAGTTTGTAATAGGTACTACAGTCTGTAAAAGAAAAATGTCTATGCGGGTCCATGTCTTCACTTGGCCCTATATAACGATTCCTCGGTTTTTGATAATTTTAGCTACATTATTCAACGGATTTTTTTTTTTTTGTCAAGTTTCGTGTTTAGTATTGCAATGGATATTGACAAAAGATGTCTATGCAGATCCACGTCTTCGTATAGACTCCAATATAACGGCTATATTCGGTATTTTTAAAAGGTTAACAGAGTTCGGCCCGACCCAACTTACCATTTTTATACCCTACACCACATAGTGGTAAGGATATTATGTCTTTGTGCATTTGTTTGTAACATGGAGAAGGAAGCGAGATAGACCCATAGTTACTTTTGAGGATCTCCATAGAAACACTTTCTGAGTCCTGAGTCTGTCCGTCTGTCCATGTATTCTTGTGACCAAAATGCAGGTTGCATTTATTATCCGATTGAGATGAAATTTTGAATATCGGAACACGATATTCAGGGAAATATATCAAATACAGCTCAGAAATATCTTTGCTAAATTTTATCGAGATCGGTTCCGATTTGGATATAACTCCCATATATATTTTAAAGATACAATGCTTCGGCATATTTAGTCCTTTGAACTTTAAATTAAAATTATAATCATAGCGTGTATGATTAAATTCTCCCATAAAATCTTTTAATTGTTATGTGGAGCTCTACAAAATTAGCAAAGTGGTGTAGGGTATCATAAAGTCGGTGCCGCCCGACTTTAGTACTTTCGTTACTGTTTTTTTTTTTTTTAATTTCATGACGTATCTTACCTATGTCTTAGAAAAACTAAGTTTGAAAAAATCATGTTTTGAGAGAAATCTAAAATAATTAGTTTATTATTATTATAAATTATGACTCTTTGTGCGGCAGGTACCAGAAGAGTAGGCCCATCTCTACCTCTATTTTCACACCATGTCTTGTGTTACTAAGTGTGAAATTACATGCTTTTTCGCTTTTAATGAGCTTCATGGTTACTCAAAATGTTAACCTCTTGTGGAGAAAGAGTCAAAAGGGGGTGGGCCGATATTGTCCATTCTTGCACCTGACCTTGAAATGATAAAAATATAAATTAGGACTTGGAACAAAATTCAATGATTCTTTCGCATTTCAATAAAGAAATTTTAATCTGAGAAATTGTCTATTGCTAGTTTACCCCAGTTGCTTGATACCAAAGGTACTACAGTTCTAATCTTTTTGTATGTTTATACCCAAAACCTGAACACCCCCAATTTTTTTCTTGTGGCACAGAAATCTCATTTTAAATATATAAACTCTCAAAATTGTTATTCTGCTTGCAAAAAAATTTGCATCATGTTTTTATTTTATTTCTCTGCAATGTATACAAAAAAAAGAGAAAAACTCTCTAACAACCCAAACGTTGATAGAGCTCTTCATTGGGTGTTTTATTTTTCGATTCGGTGACGAATTCCACGGCATCAGTGCTGAACAGCACATTATTGTCGTTGGGTGTATACGAGCCGAAGAGTTGGAAAACATCTGATAATTTACCGGATTTACCAAATTTATCCGACAACGAGATGAACAGATGTTTCAATGTCTCCTGTTCTACGTGGGTCATTGAATCACGAATAAACACCGCGTTGGGTAGATTAATTTCAAAATTACACAACTGCCATTCGCTGACCGGTTTCCTTTCACCATTGGGGCAAAGTAATTGCTTGTTTTTGTGTTCTCCCAAATCCTTAACATTGGCAATAAGGAGATTCTGCTCCTCACCGGGTTGGGCGTTGCAATCAGGTGAGCCTCTCATCAGATTCAAATAGGCCACTGCCTTACGTTGTCTTTCGTCGTTGGCATTATAGTAACTGGAAAAAGGTATGGATGTTAGAAGAAGTGCGTCATATGGATTTTTTTTGGAAATACTTACACAGGCTTCTTGTTTTGATCATCTCTGGTCAAGGCTGGATCAATCACTACCACATAGATATCATTTTCGGCATAGGCTTCATAGACAACTGGTTGGAGTTTCGATTCCCTAGCTGGTTTATAATGGTCAGCCTGAATGGCAACCATATCGGCCTTACCCTCGGCAACAGCTGCAATACAATTCTCCTCCTTCAGGCATTCCATTTCGGGACGAATATCACGAGAATAGGCAGCGCGAAGCATTGAATTACATTTCTGGAATTCAATATCCGATTGGACACACATTCTGTGAAGAGAGGGAAAAATTACAATTCTCTATTTCTCTCTCTCTCTCTCTCAAACAATTGTTATTGATCTTACTTCATTTTCCTCAAAGCCGAGCCATCGCGTTCAATGACATCCTTGTAGCCAGCCTTTTCCAAATATTGTTGCGGATCCACAGCTTCGGCTTTCTTGTGATAGACAGCATTCTCATTGATCAGCAGATGAGCGGCAGCTTCTTTATTCTCAGCATGTAAACCATTCTCGAAGAATTTTTCCAAACGATCCTGCAAATTGTGGAATTGTTGTTCACCCTTGACGGCCTCACTATTGGAAATATAACCAGTCCAAGGACGTTGAGCCCAGGAGCAGGCTGGACCATCCAGGGGACGCCGGCTGCCATCTTCGCACAAATATTCGAAATCTGTGGGATCACCTTCGGCCTCAACACCGGGAATCATCTGGAAAGGGGATTTGGGAAGACACATTTAAATTAAGTTTCGTAGAAGAGGGGCTAAAAGGTCTTCTTCGACAGGTAGGCCTGGAAGGGCTTCTTCTCGGAAGAAAAGTATAAATTCCTTTTTCGTGGAAGAAGGGCCATAAGGTCTTCTTTACAGAAAAAAAAACAACCAGGTCTTTTTCATAGAGAAAGGGCTTTAAGGTCTTCTTTACACAGGGAGGCCTTTAAGATCTTCTTCATAAGAGAAGGCCTTCAGGGATTTCTTTATAGAAGATAAGCTTCAAGTTCTTCTTCATCAAGGAAGAGCTTTAGGATCGTCTTCACAGAGGAAGGCCTTCAAGGTATTCTCCATAGAAGAAGAGCTTCAAGGTCTTCTTCACAGAAGAAGAGCTTCAAGGTCTTCTTCATAGAAGAAGAGCTTTAAGGCCTTCTTCATAGAATCACTTCTTCATAAAAAATTGTTCCATAGAAAACGAGCTTCAAGGTCTTCTCCATAGAAGAAGAGCTTAAAGGTCTTCTTCACAGAAGAAGAGCTCCTAAATCTTCTTCATAGAAGAAGAGATTCAAGATCTTCTTCATACAAGTAGAGCTTCAAGGTCTTCTTCATAGAAAAAGAGTTTCAAGGTCTTCTTCATAGAAGAAGAGATTTGAGATCTTTTTTATAGAAGCTTCGAGAGCTTAAAGCTTCAAGAGCTTAAAGATCTTCTTCATAGAAGGTCTACTTCACAGAAGGTCTTCTTCGTTTAAAAAGGAATTTAAAAGTCTTTTTCAAAATAGAAGAGCTTAAAAGTCCTTCTTCTCTCTCCCCCCTCTCTCTCGCTCTATCTCTCTTCTCTTGTGGACGATACTTACTCCAAAATATTTCTTAATAAATTGAACTTTGGTAAAGGCCACATCACCCTTGCCCTTGTCCAAGCAGCGTATGGCGCCATCATATCCCGAAAACTTATCCGGATAGTCGCATTGTTCGGGTTTCTCACACAGGGCACACAAATTGGAATATTTTTTCTCTAGAAAATTTCAAAGCCAAATTAAACCCTAAAATCCTGCTGTTTCATAAAAAACTTCTTCACTTACTCAACAAATGATCGGTTTCAGGATATGGTGAATAGGTACCCACTAAACACGATTGGGAAAAGAATTCCGACAAGGCTTTCAGTTCACGTTCCGTGGCCGTGAGTTCAGCATCCTGAGACACCTTTAAGATGTCGACATTTTTCAATTTTGTAATAGGAATTTTATAGCCAACATTGCGACCAAAACCGGTGTGGCAGGATTTGGCACCACGCAGCTCCTTTAAACTGTGGATATTGGAATTTTTCTTGACCAAAATTATGCCCTCATAACGGAAGGGAGCTGGGGGGAATATACACTTTTATTATAACTTCCACAATTTATGAGATAATGTCCTTACCATCCTTATCCTCCTGGGTGCGAATTTCCGAAATCACCTTATAATCATCATTTTTCGTATGATATGCAACATACATATCCTCCGGTTCGGAGGCCAAAACATCAGCCTTACCCTGATGGATCATGTCCAAACAATCGATACGATCACGTCCCGATACACATTCCATTTTTATGCCGGCCTCCGATGGATCCTTCAGCAAATTCAAACAATCCTTATAGTATTTGTGTGGAACACACATACGATCTGGAAAAAAGATGCCACCAAACTCAGTTCCATTCTTTGCACTTAACCTTCAAAATATCACAAACTTACAGATCTGCTCATCATTTTCACTTGCAGCTGCAATGCCCAAGAGAACCGCAGCCAAGATCACTGCCGTGCTAAAACCCATGATGGATGTGCTAAATATTTTTTTCTAGAACTGAATTTCAAATTCAATGCGCGAAGTGGTCAGAGTGGCTTCACTCGTTGCACTGTGGTAGCTGCTTGATTTCCAATGGCTTTATATAGAAGCTTCGAATCAGATATCCATACATCGAACAGTCATCGATGATCGTAGGACAGGCATAGGAAACTAATATCAACTCACACTCATACAAACACACACACTAGAACCAAGAAGGTGTCCAAGTGGTAGTTCAAAGATGTTATTTAGATTTTGCTCCTGACATGGATATGAGTTTTCGAAATACAGTGGAGAACAAATATTTTCGTTTAGAATAAAATGCCGATAATTCATTGGCGAAAAGTTAATTAACAAAGTTTCTATAGTTAGAAAATCGAAATACTTGCAATTCGATTTAATTCAGAACTTTTGGGCCAACGACGTAGCCGGAAACACTTTTCGAAAAAATTTCGGAGACCCAATAGACAAAAAACAATAGATTATTCAATCAGAATGTTTTAAATTATACAAAATCCGAAATAGTATGGGGTGGAGTATATTAAGTTCGCCATTCCATTTGTAACTCATCGAAATAATAATTGTAAACATAACAAAGTATATACAGGGTGATATAAAAAAACTGCAAAAAAGTCAAACGCCATAATTTTAACTAATTTTTAAATGTTATTGAATGAAAGCAAAAAATGTCGGAATAGGAATCAAATTTTAAAATAAATTTAGATTTTTTCGAATAGGTCACCTTTGGCACGAATTATAGCCTTCAAACGGCCAATGAAACCGTCACACGCTGCCCCAATGCTGCTGGCAGTATTTTGGCCCATTCCCGTCGAAGCCCTTGCTTGAGGTGATCGACACTTTGGTATTTTTTTAGTTCCAACCTTGCTTTCCAAAATACTCCAGAAACAATAGTCCAACGGATTGGTATCCGAAGATTCTTTTCTTTGCAATCAGGTCAAGATCGAAGATAGTCAACACATAAAGGTACCCCCCTCGATTTTCGGTATTTTGCTGATTTTAACCAACTTTTTTCAATAAAATTTTCTGAAAATCCACAAAAGGAGTTCCTTCTGAGTACTTTACCCCCTGGAAAAGTTTTGTCTATACAGGTCCACGATATCGTATGTCCCCCATTTTATATGCAGTACCTCCCTATATTCGATATTTTAGCTACATTTTTCAATCGAATTGTCGAAAAACCATACTAGAAGTTCTTTCTAAACACTTTACCCCCTTAAAGAGAAATGTCTATATAGATCCATGATATCGTATAGCCCATATACAGCAGTACCCCTCGATATTCGATAATGTCACCATTTTAGGGACATTAGTCACCGAAGTTGTTTCAAATTTCGTATTTGGAATTTGTAATGAGTACTACAACCTTTGACAAAAAATTGCCAACGATTTCGTATAGCCTCCATATAACCATACCTCCCTATTTTCGATATTTTGATGATTTTAGCGACATTATTCTCCGGAGTTGTTTAAATACAGTCTATGAAAGAAATTTGTCTCTACAGGTCCAGGTCTTCGTATAGCCTCCATATAACAGTACCTCCCAAAATTCGATGTTTTGATGATTTTGAAATTTTGATTTTTTGAAATTGTTTGAAATTTCGTACTTGAAGTTTCTAATAGGTACTACAGCCTATGAGAGAAAATTGTGTATGCAGGTCCAGGTCTTCGTATAACTGCCAGATATCGGTATATTCCGTAATTTGATGAATTTATCGACATTATTCACCTGATTTTTTTCAGGTTTCGTATTTGAATATTGTTATGGATTATGACAAAATTTGCCTATGTAGGTTCACTTCTTCGTATAGACCCCAATATAACGGCTATATTCGGTATTTTTAAGATTTTATCACAATTTTTTATTTTATTTTTTTTTTGAAATTTTCCAAATTCATTTCAAATGGTGGAGGATATTCAAATTTCGGCCCGGCCGAACTTACTGCTTTTTTATTTCTTTCGGAGAAAATGGTACCCATTTTAGAACACCAACAGTCTAATTATGAAAATAGGAATGTAGGACAATTGATACCCTGAGCCATATGGCTAGGGAAGGTATATATCATTTGATAAGGCCGAAATTTGGTACATCGTAATATTATTGTTAAACTTAGATCAAGTTCGAAAATGGGCAATATCGGTCCACTCTTTCTGGTAACCCCCCCCCCCAACAAAAGTTCGAAATTTTCAAAAAATATTTAATTGCGCAGAAAGAGAAAAGATAATCCGATTTTTATTCAACTTTGCAAATCCTAATATTTGCATCAGTGCTAGGTCAGGTGTAAAAATGGACAGTATCGGTCCACTCCATCAAGTACCTCCCCCACAACATGTCATAATTCTGAATAATTATAATTCTTATAAAATGTGATGTAAGTGTCCGATTGTCTTCAAATTACACACGTCAAAACATTTTTATTAACCCAAGGTCCGGTGTGAAGATGGAATATATCGCTACACTCCTTCCGGTACCTCCTCCACAAAGGGTCAAAATTTTGAGTATCCATCATAAAACGAGAAATTAACATCCGATTCCATTCAGACTTAATACAATACAAATATTTTTGCTTACGCAAGGGCTGCTGTGAAGATAATATATATCTGTATAACAGCTTCTGGTACCTCACACACAAAGGGTCACAATTTTCAGTATTACATATGTCATAACTTGGGAAACAAGTCGGCGATTCTTTACAACTTGCTATATCTAAATGTTTATCTCAACCAGAAATCTGATATGAATTTTTTTGAACATACCAATATTTTTATCTTTATTAGATGAAGTATGAAAATGGAATATTTCGGTCCGCTATATCTGTTACCTGATGCATATTTCCACATTTTCCAAAAATTCGCACGTATCTCATATAAAGTATAGGAAGTAGTCGATATAGTCCAAATCTGGCACGTTGTAATATTTTTATCAGTCTTAGTTTATATACGAATTTGTCAATATTGCCCAACTGCTTCGGAACCTTCCGCATAAAAGGTCAACAGTTTAAATAATCATAACCCAAGTCTGGGGGTATACATCTGTCGGCAAACCCTACAGATACTATTTTATTTGTTTAGTTAGAAATTTCTATTTATCAAATATCTTTAAAAGTCAAGGAGTTACAGCTTTTTCACTTGGAGTATGATATAAGTCAACAAAATAGTACATTCAGTGTATGAAACCCTTAAATACCTCTAGCCATTCCCCATCTTGCACAAAAATGTAGTACTGAGATTTGGTGACTGCTTTGCTAATAATTGATCTATGAAGCTAAATTATTTTTAATTAATTCAGGAACCCGGTAACATGACTTTTTCTCGATACCGTTTTTAAGATGAGAAAATGAGCGATATATTTTTGAACTCAAACCACCCAAATCCCCGTTTTGCAACTTTGATTATAGTCGAAGTTTTAAACTTTAAGTATGATTTGATATATTTACATTATACGATACATTTGCTCGCCACTGTAATCGAAGACAGAAGCATGCCGGGAATCACCTTTTGTTATTTATTATTATTACTCATGTACATCCATACATATGTTTGAGCTTTTCTTCTGTTCTTTTTTTTTTTTTTTTTTTTTTTTGCTATATTCATAGGCAAGCTGTAAAGAAGGCTGGCAAAAAAATTGGTTTAAAATGCAATGTGTACCCTACACAGTCACAGGGGGTTTAATGTTTAAATGTTTAATGGAAATGTTTAATATTAGATCAGAACCGAATATAATTACATACGAAAAAAGATACAACTTTTTACCACGATAACTGATATTTCCTTTATGATACCAAAAAAAATCTAAACCAAATGCTTCTTTCAGATTCGGGAACAGGGCAATGATTTAAAAAAAATAGTTAACAAAAATCCTCTTTGAAACCAGATACACCTTAAAAATATTAAATTAAATAAATGATTAAATTGCACTTGTTTTATTATACCCTACAACACTATGTGTTGGGGGTATTATAAGTTTGATTGGGCCAAAAATTATGTAACACCACGAAATATTGATTTCCCACATAGGAAAGTATATATGGATCTTCCTAGCTCGTCGAGCTGAGTCGATCTAGCTATGTATGTCCGTCCGTCCGTCTGTCCGTCTGTCCGTCTGTCCGTCTGTCCATGTTAATTTGTAATCACTCTACAGGTCGCAATTATGGCACGATCTTCACGAAATTTAGAATGGAGATGAGGCTAGGGTCAGAATAGAACCCTATTTCTTTTGGAGATGATCGCCAAATGTTTAGGGGTTGAAATGGACCAAATACTGAAAAAATGTCAGATTTTGCAGTAGCTATACAGGTCGCAATTATAGACCAATCGACGCGGAATTTCGCATGTAGCTAGAGTTTAGGGCGGGGAAGAAGCCTACCAATTTGGGTGGTCATCGGATAATATTTAGCGGGTAAAATAGACCATATCTTTTTTGTTGAAAAAATTTAACAATTTTCATTAAACCGCGAATATTTTAAATCCCGGGGAACTCACAAAGCCATGACAAGGTTACTTCTGATCTTTACATTGATGTTAAGATCCAAAAAATCGAATATATAGCAAATATATGCGATATATATGTCTATCAAAGAAGATATGCTAGAAAGATCTCATATATGTCGAGAACGGCTGAACTGATTTCGACAGTTCTCATTAATTCAGAATGGCCTCTTGACAGGAAAGAAAAAACTTCTAAAAAAATCGCATAAAAATATCTCTCTAAAGATGAAAATATTGATTTTGTAAAATTTTCTCATATTTTTTTCATTTTGTCATATTTTTGGCATATTTTCATTTTGAATTAAACATTTGGTAATATTTCTACAGCTAACAAAACTAAGTAGTTAGGATATCAGGATATCATATACAGATCGCATTTATGGCCCGATCCTTACGAAATTTTGCATGGGGTTAAGATGAGGGTCAGAATAGAAGCCTATTCTTTTTGGAGATGATCGCCATATATTTAGGGGTTGAAATGGACCAAAAAAAAACTGCAAAATTGTCAGAAGGTCGTAATTATCGCCCGATCCTCACGCACATTTGAATGGGGATTACCGGACATTGCAAAAGCCAAGCAGTT